ACCTTTGCTCAGTCTAATGTGGTACAACATGGGATGTGGGACACTGGAAACATACTTTACCCTTGACCATAGGTAGTTCACAAGGATGCTAGAACCAGTGATGTTTCTATAATGATACCTGGTGCTCGTCACAAGTGCACATTTTCACTGATTTTGAGGTTCCCTAGCATGTCTGTGTCTCAGATTTAGAAGCAGCTACAGTCACAGTGGTATCCTAACTTCACACAGGCTCTAAGGAAAACAGAGACATAATAATCCTCTATTTTTAATAAAAGTACTTTGTCTTGAAAAACTGTCAAGCAAAAATTTTAAAAAGTTAATCAGATGAAATTAATGGCACATATTTGCTTCAATAATGAAAGAATATCATGTTATACATTTATGAAGGTGAACATTTAAAACAAATTCCCAGGACACATAATCAATTTTTGGTCAAGATAGTAGACTATAGAAAATGCTGTGCTCACCTCCTTCCATGACCACATCAAAATTGCAACTAAATTATAGAACCACCACCCTTCAGAACCATCTGAAAACTAGCTGAACAGAACTCTTATAACTAAAGATATAAAGAAGCAACATTGACACTGAATTATGAGAAAAGCAAAAATTACCAACATCAGACAAAAGGAGACATTTCTACAGATTCTGTATCATTAAAAGTATGGTTCTAATAAACTTGAAAATTTTAAAAATAAAGCAAATCCCACTCCCACCAAAAAACCCCACAAACAACAATAGGCAAAAGAAAGAAATCAAAATAATTCTGTTTCAGTGGCGAGTAGTTATTAATGCTGTCAAGCCACAAACCACCAGGATCCTGCCAGAATAAGTCAATGTGTTGTGGACTTAGCTAATGAAAAGAAAAGTCTCCTAGGCTAAAACATATCTTGAGTTCCAAATCTCATGATCTGAATTAGCATTTTTTCAGGGGTATTGTCTGTGTTTTCTATAGAAAAATGTTTTCATCCCCATCAAAATTTCTTGGCTGATTCAGAAAAATGTTATTTATAGTATAAATGTCTTGCTTCATCAATGCTACATAAGACAAAAGACAAGTCCCAGGATGCAAAGAGCTGCATGAAGTTATGAAAGAATGCAGATGTTCCCCACTCAACCTCCATCTGAGAGATGTGCATACAGTCTTGTTTTTGCCACAATAATTCGAAGTAAATTGCAATGCCATCATGTTAAAAAGGAAGGAAAAAAATCAAGTTCTCTAAAAAGATCTCTACTGGAAACCCTTTTCCCACACTCTGGAAACTCCCATCACCAGCTGACACAGCCTGCACTTCCATGAAAATTTCCTCCTTAAAACATTACACCAGGAACGGGTTTGGGAAAAAAAAAAGGACATTCGGTTAATCTGAAATACACCTTGATGTCCTTCAGTTTCTTTTCTTTCCTAAAACTGTGTTTCCATGAATGGGTGTGGAAGGATTGGAGAATGGCTCAGGATGCATGACCAAGGCACAGGCGCCCCCTACTGGGAAGGTAAGTAGGAGACTGCAGGTCTCATTGGCGTGGAGGAGCTAGGGAACTGAGAGGATTATCGGATGTATTTCCTACTGAAAACACGTACATGGAATTAAAAAATAAAACTAACAACAAACTTGGAACCAGGCATAAGGGTTTTGTGAAATTTGAGTGAAAAGGATGCCAGGTAAAGAACAAATACAAAACTCAATTTGAATAAAAACAAACCTTTCACATTTCTTGAGTTTATTATACAATGGGAATATACCTCTAAAGAAAATCAGACAAAAAAAAAAAAAAAAAAAAGAGCAAGGTGAACTGACAGTTTATGGAACTGTATTTATCTTACTTTAATTTTTCTAATGCCTCTGTTTCTATATAGCAATTAGTTAAGCATTTCAAAATTGCACCCGCATACAGAAAACTCATTTCCTCATGCAAATAGACTTTATAAACAAAAAGGTGCATTAAAAATATTATTCTGGATGATGGCCAAGATGATTGGAGTTAAATTCTATTCTCTTTAAAAATACAATGTAGGAAAGGTCAAGAGTGACTGCATGCCTTACCAATCCTATTTTCTGCTCCACTGCCAATTGAACAAACAGATTTTCAACATGCAGATAAAAGCTGGCCCTCGGTAGCAGGAATTCAGAGCGGGGGCGTGAGTACCCTGCATAGACTGCATGCGTCATGCTTTCCTGTCTTCCATGAAGGCGGCTCCCCAGTATCCTTGCTTCTTGAATGTGAGTCACTGTGAAATTGGCATTCTGAAAGCTAACCTGCAAAAGGGGCTCATGACCTTTTATAATTTAGCAGTTCTTTTTGTATTTTAAGGTGTGACCAAGTTTGTGTTTGTTTTTCTCCAGCATCTCTCTCTCAGCTGATCACACAGCTCTGGAAGAGACCTGGCCCTAGAGTCCTGCCACAAGGGATCCCAACTCTGCTTTTCTAGATGTTTCTATATTAACGAGGCTGTGGAAGAAATTAACACACTACACACTTGGAACCAGGGGACACTGCAAATGGCAGGCTCTTCCCCACCTCAAAATCTCTTTCCTCATCTCGTCAATGTCCCCAGGGTGGGGCAAAAGCAAAAGTTCAAGACAAACCGTGCCAGCCTCCGAATTCTTGATTGGAGCTTCCCAAAATCGCAGTATGGCTTGGACCACGTGCATGGTAGGCATGGCCTCTCCCAGCCTTCACCCTGATCTCCGCCTGGACTTTCCTCATGCTGGGTGCTCCACTTAGCAAAACAAGCCCCTGTAGGCCAAGTGCCTTTCTGTGAAAATTCTATCCTTTCTCCAGAAACATTCTTTTTTCCCCCTGAACAGTAAAGCACCAAAAAACCTATAGGGAGGGATACAGGTCAGGAGGCCTTTCTCTCCACAGAAATACTGAGTATTTATTTACCAATAATATTTCTGTAAAGTTTCTGGAGCTCAGATTTGCTTTGTCCAAACATTTGCAAACATGACTGTTGTTTTCTACTGACATAAAGTGAGACGGGCAGGCCACGGTGGGGCTTTCCCTACTACAGGAGAAAGGTGCCCTGGGGGAGGGACCTCTGGTTTTGACATTACCTTTTGGCAACTGTTTTGCCAACGTCCAGCCCCCTTGCACTAGTCCACACAATCAAGGTGGCCTTAAATATGGTGTGGAAGAAAAATAGTGATGCGGTTACCTAACACACTCAGGGTCGTCCAACCCTCACCCAAGGTGGCTGTGAACGCGGCCCAACACAAAATTGTAAATTTACTTAAAACCTTTTTCTTGCTTATTGGTTTTCGTTAGTGTTTGTGTATTTATGTGTGGCCCAAGACAACTATTCTTCCAGTGTGGCCCAGAGACGCCAAAAGGTTGGACACCCCTTTGTTACCTCATCATAAATTATACACTTAACTGCCCTTAAACTTCAATCCCTGAAACATTACTGGGTGCTTTTTTCTTACAGAGCTGTTAAAAAACTTCAGATGCAAAAATTTTAGATTCAAAAATTAAATGCTTACTTCATTTGAGGTTTTGGTGCATTTTTATTAGGGTTGGTTTTAAGAGTCTTAACTGGCGTTGGCTTGAACGTCAGGGGATCAAAAGACAGGCCTTAGTTCAGGCACACAAGCCGCCACGGGGGTGAAAGTTGGGTAGAGAAAGTGGCCTCAGACCCCGCGACATGCTGTCTGCTGGCCGATCCTTCACTCCGAAACTGAGCCCTGTCAGTGGGGGACAGAGCCCTGCTGGGCAGGCACACAGGGCTCTTGGCTCCAGGTCAGGCATCCTTATCCTCCCTCCAGCATCTAGATCCCAAGGCCAGAGCGAAGGGACAGTCCTCCATACTTGACTTCCCGGCACTTCTGGCTTCTAAGGAGAACTCAGTTTAAACAGCTAAATATGACTCATCTCTTCATATAACCTGAAGCCTTCCCCTCATCAGGGTTCCTACCCTAGGGGACAACTTCCTGAAGGGAAACGTGGGCATGTAGGACCCGATTCCACACTGGAAGATGAAGCGGAGCAGGGAGATAGGCATAAGCCACCTTGTATTTTATTAACCTTGGGATTAGAAGGAACTGGTGAAGAGCGGGCATGGGCCTGCCGTTCCATCGGGAGTAGTTAGGAGTGGGGCCCCCACCCACCCAGCCTTCCCTGGACGGGGGCGGGAGGGCAGACCGGGGAGCGGGGTGTGGGGGTTGCGCAGAGGGAAGCTGCTGCCAAGAGCAGGGACACAGAGCTAGGCCTGGAGAGCAGGGCCTGAGTGACAGGGATGAGAGGGAGACTGACATTCCAGTGTGTGACCTGTTTTAATTTTTAATTTACTACTCACATACAACACATGATTAACATGAAAAGATTAATAAAATACATTGGATTACAATTTAAACCATTAAAATGAATATGTAATAATACAAATTTACATATAAAAACATGACAATAAAGAGGGGCAGTTACTCTGAGTGCCAAAGGTGTGCTGGGCTCAGGGTGTGCATTTGGACGCCCTGTTGTTCTCTTGAGTTTCGCCAGTTGTACACTCATGATTTAGCGTGAGATTTTCTCAGAGCAGCAATTAATGACTATTTGTTAAGGAAAAAATATTCTTAAAGACCACACACACACACACACACAAAGTAGAAACAGGGACTAGATTCAGTTCGAGATGGTGGGAGGCAGTTACCAAACTCTCGCCCACTTCCTCCCAAATTTCCACTGAAATGAACCAAGGAGGGGCCCAATGTGAGAGCCTATGTAGGGAGTGACTGGGAGGACAGAACCCAGAGGTGAGGGCAGGTGCCTAGGCAGAACAGGACAGCAGCAGCTCTCAGGTGGCCCAACTCCAACACCAAACTCCGAGTTTGGAATTTGGTAGGTCCGGTGTGAGGCCATGCCCTTTGAGAAATGCTGGTCTGGGGACTACCCAGTCAGGCTTCCCCACCCTCATCCCCTTGGGCACAGAGCCCCCCCAGGGGAGTGGAGGTTGCCGGGCAGCATCACCTTTCCCAGCAGCAAAGTCAGAGGCCCACTTGGCCCCAAGTGTAAACCCTGGCTCAAAGGGGGCTGGGAGGCAGGAGAGGTCCAAGCAGTGCCTCCCAAGGTCCTAACGCTGTTCACAAAAACCCACAGTCCATAAAAGCAAGCACTTTCATTTTCATAAAATTGAGTTGTAGCATCTTTCAATGATGCTTCATCCACAATTCTTTGTCTATACAGAACATTTTAACTGAGGTGAACAAACAAGCACAGCTTATTAAGATAGAAATGTCATGGTATTAAAGTATGTCTTCCTTAAAACTGTCTTCAGGGGCAGGAAAATGAACTGTTACAATCAAAACCAAGAACAATGAATTTCTCTAAGTAGGTGTCAGGCAAATGAAAAAGGAGTGTTTATGGCTGTCTTACCTTCAAAACTCCGAAACTCCCCTAAATTTCTAGAACACTCCTCGTTGAATTGTCTTGCATCTGTGGTCCTTAAGTTGACTGAACTCACATTTATAAGCCCCACCCACACTACATATTCTTTATATGATTTCTATGTGAGAATGTGTTGGAAATGTTATTTGGAAAAAACTGAGTATGTTCAATGTGGGCAGGATGATTTAACTAACCGCTCTTGCACCTGACTGATCAGAAAAGCTCACAGAACCTTCCCACCCATTATCACTTACCCACTTGCTGTTCTGGTTTTGTTTTGTTTTTTTTTGGTCAAAGCATTTTGCTTTAGTCATTAAAAAATATCTAGGGAAAAATTTGAACAAATGGGCAGAGTAGTTTTTTTTGTTTGTTTTTTTTGCAGGGTTGGTTCAGGGGGATATTCTCAAATACCATTATTTGACATAGTATCCTTCCTCATTTACTTCTGGAGATATTGGGCCTAGGTGGTAGCACTAACTCCTTTAAGTACCCGAAGTATGAATGGAAATGTCTCCCTGACAGCAAGGCTTTCAGGTTGCGAACTGTGCATCTAAGTGTGTCCCAGGCAAGGCACCCCATTTTCTGGCCTGTGTAGATTGTGGGCAAGTCTGCAGTGCCCTCTAATGGCCACAGTGCAGCTCTTTCCATCCCCAAGAACAGATCCTGTTCCACTCTGCCACATCCTCTCTGAACAAAGTAACCCATGTCACCAAATTGCCTCAGGGTGGGAAATTACAGCCTGAAGTATCCTCTACAGGCCAACTTTGTGCTGAGAATGAAGTCAGGATGTCCTTGGGAATACACATGGAGAAAAGGTTCAAATGTCCATAAAGATGACTGACCATACATCCATCACTCTCCCTCAGAGCCACTGCCTCATTTAGCAGTTCCTTAGGCTCCTATCTCTATCCAGCATGGTCGGACCTGAGCTTGCCTGACAGGGCAGCACACCAACCTGTGGCAAGCTGCTTATGGAGGTCTGTGGGACCCAGCTGGGGTGCCCAGAGCCTGTGTGGCTCCTAGTGCACAGACCCCTATGCTAGCCAAAAGCCACCCAACTCCAAGTTCAAATGCTTATCCACATTTTTGTTTTTCCTTAAATGGTAAAACCCCACAACAATGTTCTGCTTGAATATAAGAAATTAGATTTATGAACAGCTTAAAACTGCTTCACTGTCTGAAGATAACACAGAACAAAATGCAAGTTCAGGCCTATTTATCATCACGTCATGAAACAAAGCAGTTAATGACAAATTCCACATACCAAAGGGTCAGAAGAATGGTAACGAGCAGAAAATGTCAGGTGTTACCTATTCCCCACCAACTAAAACCAAAACTGTTGAGGTTAAAAAAAATATTTTGAACATTTTTGACAAACCCATCCATTAGGTAATTTTCCAAAAAATGTTTCTGCAGATCTGCTCTTCTCTTCCTGACCTTTCACGTTGCATCCCTCTAAGCCAACTGTTATGTGGGAGACACTGAGACCACACACGCAGGACGCAAAATGCAACCATCTCCTGGCTGGCTCACCTCACCTGACCCCATAGCTTCAAGCTCAGATGGGCAATGCTTGCCTTCATGGCCCTGGCAAGGAAACAATCGCCAAGGTACTACTACACCACCACCTCCTGACCTATTGGTATTTCCTCCTCTGCCCCCCGGGAATTTATTGTACTTTTCTCCCTAGAACACACACAACTCTCTTTCACACACACAGCCTTAAATACCCTCCACACACTATGAACTTCCTTCCTAACTTATCCTATATTGTTTGAACTCTAACTGCCTGCAAAGGCTCCCTGCCACCTCCACTGGGATATCTTACAAGGTCCACGTCCCAAACTTGCACCTAGGATTTGTTTCTTATCACCAACCTGTGCACCTGTACACACCTTATGAAGCCCAATTCAGGAACCTTGAATTTTGATTACCTGTCCCTCACCCAAGTTCGAGAACTTGGCATGGATTCTACCTCCAAGAAATATCTGAAATTCATCTAACACCATAATCTCTCCCCTACCTCCTGACAGATCCCTCTGGTTTGCCTCTTGCCCTTCTCACAACCCTTTGCCACAAAACAGCCCCAGTAAACTGTAATCTCATATGACATCCCTGCTCAATCTATGAACAAGCCCAGGGCTGCCCAGGTCCCAGGGACTGGCATGGTATCATTTGTATAACCAAACACTTGAACAGGGTGTCTGGCTGCATCAGCCGCCTTCTTGCACACAAAAGGCTTTCCTTCTCAGAGCCACACTCACCTGTCCAGGAGGGACATTCGTCCCCTATTTTCAAAGCTGGCTCCCTTCATGAAGTAACCTACCTCGTGTTACTTCCTCAGAGGTACACTCTTGATTAATACCTAGAAAGGAGTCTACCCTGCTATGCTACTGCAAACCTCTGTTTTCTTCACTGAACTCACCAAAATTTTCAACTGTTGACTTACTGGGGTAATTGCTTAGGGTTTTTCTCTACTAACAGATCACAGATCTTCAAGGACTTATTCCTCACTGCCTGCTCACCAGCTCCTCTGAGCGAGGCACCAGTGCAGAGCACATGCTCAATGAATACTGGATGAACACACCAACCAAAAGCTTTCAAAGGGTTACATGGAGTTGTTTATAAATCTCAGTTTTTGTTATAACTACTTTAAAAACACAAAGGAGTAAAATACTTGTTAAAGATAATTTTAAAAGGGCAGCAACTGTAATTCCATAAACATATCCAATCATAAGGGCCAATCAACACTGAATTATCTGGTGTCTGATACCACTAAGAGCATCTTAAGAGAATACTCAGAATGGTGAAATACTGGCAAAGCAGCAAGTTTACATCCAGAAGTGGAGTCTCCTTTGGAATGGCTGTCTTCTGTCTGCAGTTAAAGTAGAAGTAACACCAAATGTCATCTTTACTGATCAGAATAATAATGTACATGGCTTCCTTTTATTTTTTATTATAAAAAAACACATACAAGAGATTTAAGAAATGATGAATATAAGACAAATCAGAACCACTGTGAGTTATTAAACCCATTTTCTCTGTACAAATACTAAAATTCCGAAAGCGGAACATCATCGAATGTGACACACATTATCGCACTGTCCGTATGTACACGGCAAAGGGCTCTGCCGCGGCCGCCTCTGAATCCGTCCGCGCACGTCACTGATACAGAACCTGCAGTGAGCTTCTACTTTTCAGTCTCCTTTTCCTGATAGTTAAATAGTTTAAAGAACTTTCATTAAGGAACTCCTGTGAAGAAAACGCATTAAGGTGAGTTTCTAGAGGCTCCCCCGTGTTTTACCTGGATCAGCTGCACACTATACCTTGAGAAAAACTTCTGTAGCCCATTTCCAGCTAAAATAGTGGAAGAGTCTTCTAGTTCTTTTTTAGCCAATATAGTTTTTCCTAGTTAGTCATTTGAGCACAAAGGCCAGAATTAACTCAGGAACCAAATCAATGCTTTCATATTAAATTCATTACAAAATGCCACTCAATTTCAAAAAGCGACTGAAAGGACACTTTCTGCAGCAAAAAGGGCTAAATTCAAGTTTTTGTTGTTTGACCAAGACAATACAACCCACATGTCATGTAATCACAACAGCCTTAACGGATTTAAGTATGTGGTTTAGGGAAACACAGCTGTGCTGCTGCGTATTTTTCCTGTCTCCTTGCCACACAGAGAGGAGAGCCTCTTGGCATTTTCTCTTTTGCGTCTTTTCTGTGAAACCTTAGCTTGCATTCTGAAAGCCAGTTAATTTGTTTATACTCAAGATACGTGAAGGCACTTCTCTAGGTGCAGTGGCAGACGGCGGTTTAGCCAAGCTCCCCTGCACACAATGCACTGACTTCCTCCAGGGAGCTGACCACTGCAGAGGGAACGCTGTGAGAAGTCTCTTTGCGCCAAGCTTCCAGGATCTTGGATATCTCTGCTGGATTGCTGGGACTCAAGTCACAAAGAGCATACACGGCTGCTAGCTGTATACCCCATGGTATATCTGAAAAGAATTCACATCCATCATTACATAAAAACATACTTGTTATTCAAAATTTAAATAGTATAATCTACTGAATACTATTCAAATACAGAATACATTCTGCCAGCTATGAAAACTAAATATCAAAGACAAGACTCACAATGAAAAAATTAAGACCTATCTACAAGTAGGGGAAAAATAAAGAAAGAAAAAAGGCAGAACAGCTCTGTGCAGGTTCCCAGGGCCGCCTGCATGCCGAGAATGGTAGGCGTGTTACTGGAAGGCACAGGGTGGCCACAGTGCCTGCCCTCTCATAACCAACATCAGCTAAGCTTCCAAAGCAGTTCTGGAAGCATCAAACTCCAATATTAAAGTTTTAATAAAATGTGAATTCCAAAGCATTTGTCAAATAAATGACTCCATTTAATATCCACTGGAAGTATTTATATAGGGACTTTGGAAATGAAAAACATAATGAAATGAAAACAAATGAAAAGCCTTCTTTGTACCACACTTTCATATATTAGATTATAGTATTTGATTGTAACTTATAGCATATAACTACAAATTATAGCTAGGTTATAGATGATGGTATATTAAGAGTTCTCATTTAACATGTTTATTTAGAAGCTATTGAATTACAATTTAATTTAGTTAAATTTTAGCTAAAGTCTATTTCACTGAAAGTTTTTAGTTGAAAAATTTAGGAGTTATTTCATTAAAATTTATTATTAACTATTTATTTCAGATTTCTGTTAGTGATGTACCTGATAACCAACAGGGCAAACTGCCACTATTTAAAATAAACAAAAACATCACAAAACTCATTCACATGCTAATGCTGAAGATGTAGACAGTGCTACAGCTTTAGAATTACTTCCCCCTAATATACAAGGCAATTAGAGAAACAGAGTGGGGCTCAAAGGAAGGACCACATAAATGAATGAATGAATGAATGAATGAATGAATGAATGAATGAATAAATAAGAAAATTAAAAAACAATTTTAATCATTTTAATAAGCAGGAAGGTGTGGCACTGGGTAAAGAGAGCTGGGGGCCTGAATGCAATATCAACGCTGAAAATGTAGCCAGACTGCAGCGTTTAGCATCACTCGTATCTCCTCATCTATCAGGCAGAGAGAGAAGCAGAGCACGGCATCCAGATTTCATGAGGGCAGAGGAGGGTGTAGTCAGAGGAATGCAAGCGTTTTAAGAACAGGAGTGTTACCTTCATCCTGGGCATGCTGTATGAACATACCGATAACCGAACTAATATTTTTCACAGCAGATGGAAACCCTTCCTTCAAACCCAATTGGCCTAAACGACCTAGGGCAGGGAATAAACAAAAATATAAACAATCTTTGTTTAAGTGATTAACTTTTCATAAGAATTTAAAATTTGTTCTTTCATAACATACTACGTACATTAGGTTTAATCACCTTGAACTGAAGTTAAAACGGGTACCTATTCTTAAGTAGAAACAGGTTAAACAGTAAAGAATCAGAATTCAATAAAGCACCATTTGTCTTAAAGGAGTGACCAAAAGGACTAGCCATCTCTTTTATTCACACATACAGATTGTGATGCTTTACTTTCTAAGCGAAGTTATAATAAATAAATGGAATTTAGAAGAATGAGCTGTTTCAGCCAGAGAGAACTTAGATACGAGAAAAATAAAGACAATTCCTTTATTTTATCAATAATCAATGTCTGACTTGTTGATAATATTAAATCATGGCCCACTAACCTAGTTAATTGCTAAAGTCTTTAGTTAATGTTAGCTTTGGGAACTCCAAGACAAGAAGGCCCTCTAAAACTTTCTCCTTAGAATCAGTTCAGACTCCAAGCTGATGAGGCATCTACAGGCAGGGCACACACCCAGCCCTCACACCACCTCTCAGGACTCCACCAGCTCTGAAGAGCATGCCTCACCTGCCGCCCTTCCCCTCAGCCATTTCTCCAGCACTGTGCTCCCAGCACTTATCGGCTGCTTTGTCCAGGCCTGTCTTCAATGCCAACAGGTAACCAGGGCGAGCAAAGCTTAGCCACAACTAGAATGGCTCGGGTGTCCCTCCAGCCCTCTCCACATCTGTTTTTCTCAGGCACATTAGCTTGGCCTGTCCTGGTCCACCTGCAGGCCTAAGCAGGGTTCCCTAGTTCTGAATCAGCTCTTATTTTCGACACTATACTTCCGTTCTACTTATCCATCCTTTGAACCACATTGATATATTTATTTATACACTACTAATTATTCTTAAATATAATCTTATTAAGTATACTTATAACTCTTCAATTATGTAAGTATGTTATTCTAAATAATACATATTTTTAAATTTTAAAAATTATTTTCTCAAAAGCCAGTATGTAATGATTTAAAGAATAAAGTAGCCTCAATGTGACTAAAACTACAAGTTAGGTTTTCTCCCCACAATTATACATTCTTTTTTCTCAATAAACCACTGACCATTCTTATTAACTCCCATATGGGTTACTTTTTAAGGTATGTAATTAAAAGTCTTCAAGTAATCTTGTGTAGTATGTGTGGAGCCAGAGAATTTGTACTCTGAAAAAGCTTCTCAGGCAATTTGGACAATCAGCCAAATCTGATGAGCAGAGATTCATACAAGCTGCCTGAAGGAGAAAACCACATGGGAGGCTGACCTTCTACCAGAGATAAACACAGAGAAACTGCTTCCATGCAGTAAAATAGTCAACCACCAGAAACAGTCTTCCACTCTCATTTCCTCTCTTATTACAATCAATAAATACATAAACATACAACCACTGCAAGTGTAACAGGAAAAATCCTATCATGTATTATAACTGTGACTTCAAAAAGCCCATCTTTTGAAAATTCCATAGATGCTTCATCTAGGTCAACACATGTATTTCTAGACTTAACACCTCTCTTAATTTCTTAAATTCTTAAAAAGATTCTGCAATTTAAAATGAATTAGTTCAAAATATGAACATCCTTGAGTCCACAAGAAAAGGTGCTACTGAGTCCAGAATTTCCGGAAGTACAGACACCACTTGACTGCTGAAAATACCACCAGTGGCTCTTCTGTGCCCACTGCTTTCTATTTGGGACTGAAGTTGTTTTTCAGGCTATCGTGCACTGAGAAATTCAGCCAAATATGTTTTGAGACATTAACCCACTGAGCAGTTCATTCATTTCAATTTTTGTGCCTTTATCTTCTAATTCCAAAAAAGTCTAGCAAGCCTTTGATTCTCACACTGTCTTATTTAATAACTTAATTACAAGTGAAAATTAGATGTCTACCTTGTAACCAGGTTGTCTTAAATCATTTCATACTTACTTAGCACAGTGTTCCTATGTTTGCATGAAAAATATGCAGAGTAGAAATGTGTATTTGCTAAATGGTATATTTAGCTAATGTTTCCTACTGTGATCTAGTTATAAGACTTACTTACATAGCTTAAATATTCTCAAACTTTACTTCAAATGGTATTATCTTGAAGTTTTAATTAATTAAACTCCAAAGATACCTAAAAATCATGGTAACTACTGTTGAGTAGCTAAAGGGCCTTAAGGTAGAAATCAGATGAACCTTGTGTGCTCAGGGGCAATGAATACATGCTGCAGATAGAGAAGTTCACTGAAAATACAGAGGTTGCTAATAATTAATAGATCTCATCTCTGATAATTCTGCAGAGCCTAGAGAGTAGCTTGTCAGAGATGAAGCAAAGAGGGGAAAAAGGGAGGTAAAATTTTAAAATAAAGATCTGTGATTTTTAGGGAGGAGTAGAAACAAATGTCCACAGAGGTCCTTCCTTAGATCTGAGATTAAAAAGAGTATGTCCCATTTAAACAATGATTTTAATTTCTGTATATTCAGCCCAGAGGAAAACAAAACTAGTTCCCAATTATGGAAGTCCATAAAATGATCCCTATTGGGCAAGTATGAAAAACATATGGTGTGAAAAAATAGGAGGCTGCCTTATTTCAGAAACTAAATGAGAATAGAGTACAATTTATATCAGTTTATTTATCCTGGAGTGTATATGTAAATGTGTACGTGTATTTATATTAATATTAGTATCTGAGAAGCAAGAATTCAATTATAAATAAAATGTACTAACATTAAAAATCTTTATCTCTGCCAAAGATGTATAAGGACAGTAATTAATAAAGAAGGACTATGAGTAGGGAGAATGGATTAAGCACAAAAGTATCTACTCTAATGATTGCAAAATCAATCATTATAGTGAAGTTTCAGTCAACATATATTATCATACATTCACTCCTCACCAAGAGTATCATCAATAAAAAGAAAAAAAATGTAATCAGAGAGACAACTCACCAATCAGCCTCAGTATTGATGCTATGATAACATCAGGAATATATGCAATGTTTGCATGTCCTTTTCTGTATTTTATCCACTTATCCATTACAGGCCACAGTTCTTTACTGTAAAGTAACAGCAATACACATGTGTATATGAAAGTAAGAATGCTCATCATCACTCAAATATTAAGAACTTATCTTAAAAATGGTAAGAGACAATTAGCGAACAAAAAAAACTTCTGAAGATGTCCCTTTTTAAATTAAAGTGGGAACAGGCACTGGAAGCTCACAAATTCTCCAAGTATTCAGGATGTCTGTGTCCACGCTGGCTTAAAAGAGGCTACAAACACCCATGTTTGCATCTTTATCCTCTCTTTTAACCTTTTTTTTTTTTTTTTTAACAAGATTTTGCACAGAGAAGCTAAACAATGTCCCCAAGTGACAGAACTGGAAAAGAGGAATTTTGATTTTCACTTTGACCTTCCAGGAGACGTTAACCCAGCTCCTGTGTTCTACCAAAGAGCTTCGTTGGGAGAAGCAAGGTTAAACGGGCTGTTTTGTAAAAAGAACTAAACCAGTAGAAATAATAACTAAAAAAAATTTTTTTCAACGAATTAAACTTTCTAATCTTGAAAATCAGTGCCAATTCTTCTCTGCTTTCTCTTATATCAAAAATGTCTTTACTTCTTACACAGTGTTTATATTATAAAAGTTAAATGCAGACAAACAAAAGAAAAATGTAAACCAAAATCATCCCAACTAATACATACTCAGATAATTACCACTCTTCTAAATTTGGGCTTCGTTTCCATGCACTTCTGAGTGTGCATGTATTTAAAAACTGTGGTGGAAGCAACCACAGTGCTTAGGAATCAGGGTCTGGAGTCACTCCTGCAGGTATCCTGATATTCAACACTCTGTCCTCACCACCTGCGGGAGGACCTTCAAGAAAACACATCTGGCTGGCCCCATCCCTGGTGGTCTCCTCCATCAAGTCACTGGTCATAGAGGGGCCCAGGGAGGCATTCACACATCATTCCGCAGAAGGAATGGATAGACTTCAGTTACTTTCCTAGTAACAAGACTATGAAATACATCCATGTCAATACGGAAAAGTCCATTTACAGCTCTTCTAATATGCCTGTCACTTCATTATATTATTCAATTCCCTATTGCTGACATTAGGTGTCTACTCATTCCCTAGTGTTAAGGCAAAAAAAAAGGAGAGGACCAATTTCCACAGAATAAATTCCTCTGGTATCTCAAGGATATGAACTGTCAATCCTTGGTGAATCCCTTTCAATGTCATAATCTCCATCAAATCAGCCTTTCTCAGTCAGAGTTCCAAGAAAATTAAGAATTACAGAACAGAAATTTGACTTATCTTCTCCATTTCCCCCAAAATGGTACAGAGCTAGTGTCAGAATTCTAAATGTACAAAGAGAAATTAATTCATCACTTATTTCTCTCCTGAAACCCCAGGTGTGAAGAGCTGTTAACCCGGAATTTTGAATATTTCTGTTCATGTGGGGGCTTTTCAGAGTATTTGTATATTAAGATAACGGTCATTATGCCCCGTTCTACAAGGATCTGCTGAGCGCCTCCCCCGCATGGGCACTGTACCACATGCTGGGGTGTGCCAGTGCACCGAAGGGCCTCATGAGTCATTTCTCCTTGGGAGAGACAGGAATAACAGATGATAATGAACAGTAATATCGGGTACCACAGAAAAGTAAAGGAGAGAGATGTAATAGTGATACAAGTACTTTAAAGATAGTTTTATTATCTCTTATCCAGATCACAGTGTTATTTGTAAATGTTTCAGCTGCCTTAAACAGCAAAAATTACTCAAACCACAAGTTAGCAAACATTCCAAAGACTACCCTACAATTCAAATAACCCAACTTTACTGGAAGTTAGAAAAGAGCTCCATACCTTATAATGTTATCATGCGTCCAAATCCATTTCTGATGGCAGCAGAGAAGATCAATGGCAAATATGTACTCCCAAGTGTTATCACTTAGGTCTTCACCAAATCTTTCACTGGACTGAAATTCTGTTTTTGGACATAACTGTATGGTCAAAAGCAACTTAGAAACCATGAAGCCAACATCTGCAGGAGAATTCTAGCAATGAGAAACAATTTAAAAATAAACAAAATTTATTAGAGTTTCAGGTATAACACATTTCATGTAACCTCAGAGTAAAACAGGTATCAGACAATCATTTAATTTTAAGACAATTTCTAAAAGTTGTATTTTGAAGAAGGAATTATGTTCATCTTAGCTATGGAATGTGTCCTAAAATAATGCTCGAATGCAGAATCCAGTCGTGCAAAAGAGACTTAGTTACAATCCAGACTGGAATGCAAATTTTCATTAACTCTCATCAGAGATTTAGAGTTATAATGGTATAATAAATTAAAACCTTTAAAGGATACTATAAATTCTGTCATTTTTCTGACTGTAAATAGTCTACTTTATTGGGAAAGTCATGAAATTGAATCAGACAGTAGTAGACACTGTTACCTATACTTTCACACCTGTACATGTTTTTAATATTTATTTAAGTTTTCCACGTACTGGCCTGAATGCTTCTTTTATTGCTGAGTAGTAATCCTATTAGATATACCTCAGGTAATCTATTCATGCATTGATAGACATCCAGGTTATTTCTAGCTTTAGGCTACAGTTAATACTACCATGAGCATTCATACACAAGTCTCTGTGTAGATATAAATTTGCTTTCTCTTGGGTAAATATCAGCAGTAGAATTATAACTGTTTTCTTTCTTGTGTTATTTTTTTTATTAAGTTTTTTATTTAAAATGAACAGGGAGCTTTCAATCCTTTCTTATTCCTGCAAAAGACTGGGATTGTCTGGTTCTTAAAAGATGAGATAAAACCCTGGCCAGTGTGGCTTGCTGGACTGAGCATCAGCCTATGAACTGAAAGGTAGTGGGTTCAGTTCCCTGTCAGGGCACACGCCTGGGGTGCCAGCCAGGTCTCCAGTTGCTGATGTTTCCCTTCCTCCCTTCCCTTCGCTCTGAATATAAATAAGGTCTTAAAAAAACCAAGATTAGATAAAATTCAGGTGGAAAGCAAACATGCTTTTTTTTTTTCTTAAATCCTCAGAGGATATGTTGTTTGTATTTTTTTTTTTAATTGATTTTACAGAGCCAGGAATGGGGGGGGCGGGGGAGGAGAGACAGAGGGAGGGAGAGACAGACATTGACATGAAAAACAGCAACTGGTTGCCTAATGTACACACTCTGACCAGGGCTCCAACCTGCAACCTTTTGGTGTACAGGACGACACTCCAGCCAACTGAGCCACTCAGCCAGGGCTATACAGTATATTTTAATCATCTTTCTACCTCTTCTACTATAGTTGAAAACAAGTTTATTTAAAGGTTCTACCCCTAAAACCAATTTTGGTCAGTTTTATTTTGCTAAGAAATCATCCTAGGTTTTCAAATCTGTTGCTCTAGAGCTGTGGGTGGTAATCCTCTCAGTCGTTATCCTGTAAATTTAAGTTTCTTCTTCATCCAGAATCTCGCAGATTTTTGCTTTTCTCTTTTATCATTACTCTGAACTCTGAGCTATCAGTTGTTAGTATTTTTAAAGGCAATGTTTTTTCTTCTATGTGTTTTTTGTTCTCCATTTGATTACTGTTATTACCTTTGAAACTATATTCTTTTTTCCTAGATTCTGTCTCAGACTTTTAAATTATAAGATGATGACCAGCCAACTTTATTTGTTTAATAATACATTTAAACTACATTAAAGAATATAGGTTTTTAAAAAACCGGACATCTTTGTTATGAAAGTTTTCCTTTTTGATGACTTTAAAAAGACTGTGATTTTACTTTTTAATTTTCCAAGACTACACATATAAATTTCCAAGTCGCTTTTATAAAATTTTGGAATTATTGTTTAATTTTATTGATTACCAGAGAAGAGTGAGTCTATAATCTTTGTTTTTTTAAAAATTAAGGTTTTCATGTGGACGAACTCATGAATGGTTTTTGTAAATTTGCTACAGGCATATGAAAAAACACACATTCTTCATTCAAATTTACCTTTTTTATTATTGAATTCCACTATGTCTACTGATTTTTGTCTATTAGATCTGTTGAATTCTTTAAGAAAATCTGGAAGTCTTGTACTATAACAGTATTTTCTCCCCAAGTATTCTTCCTTTTTTATAGTTTTGACTTCATATTTTATTTGATAGAGGGTAAAAATATTCATTAAAATTCTACCTTATTAATAGTTCTTATTATCAAATCATCACACCTGGCTTCATCGTGAACAGGCCAAAGGAGAAGGCTCCTTTGCACAAGTGGAGGACAACACAGGAGCCAAGTGGTCCTGCGGGCATCCTGGGGAGAGTAGCCTTTTTCTTAATAAATATTAACATCGAAAACTATTAAAACAATCTAGATATTATATTAATACATTAGTTACTAAAGAAAATAATAAAAAAACTAAACATGGGACTAAAATACTTATAACAAATACAAATTCCATCAACTAGAAAGAAAAATAAAGAATATTAGATTCAGAATAATCTTAACAAAAAATAAAAAAGATTGAAGATACAAATTTTTTCACCTTTCTTAGGACCTACTGTAGAAGCAAATTATTTACAGCTCTCTTAGGAGCCCTTACATGTCATCCATCCGTCCATCCATACACGCATACTTACATATCATCTCATCAGTCATAAATTAGTGCATAAAATAAACTGTTAAATTCATGTAATACACAGGTCTACAATTCTTTCCAACAGGTCTCATGCATACTTAATGAATAAAATGCAAAAGTTTAGGCTAAAATGGTATTTTAAAAGATCTAATGCAAAGAATATATTACTTCTAAAAGGCTCTATCAACTAATACAAAACTAAAAACAAGGCCAAGTAACATTTATGTGGGACCTACGAAGTATGGTATTACAGGAAGTAAAAATAAACCTCACCTTTTCCCAATTGAGAAACGCTCTCAAACAATTCAGAACTTCCCCTTTAGCACGCTGCCTGGCAACTAGCTGCATTGCCTTATTAATCACTGATTGAGAGATAAATATATCATGCCACATGTTTGCAATGAACAAAGTCAGTTTCTCTGATTCTGGAAAATCTGTGAGAGAAAACAAGACAATAAACCTTTATGTCTGATCAAATGAATAAACAAAGAATAAATGTTAGTAATTTCACTTGTGCCTTGCAAGGCTTCCTACCCAATGAGGCCAGCCTCAGTTATTTAAAAATCTGCGTCTCTCTCCTTTTCCCACTTCCCTTTGGCAAACTTTCTTTAAACTTGAAACATAATTCATGTATATACAAACCACTGTATGAAAAGAGGAATAAACTCTAAAACATGAAGACAGGGAAACCATCCTCTCTCCAGTCTGCCCAGGTCCCAGAGCCCTCCCATTTGGTTAGTGTCATTTCAGGTCATATTTTTGTGCATTTATAAGAGAACTCACTTGTAGAACACATAAAGCTTTTGATTTGAAGAGATATTTTTTAATAAATTATAGATGATAATTCTTTGTTGTAAATACCTCTTTCCAATACTGTGGCTTGACCTTTGTTTATTCAATTAACTGAGGTATAACTTACATACAATATTAGATAAATTTTGACAAATGAATACATCCATATAACCCCTACCACAATCAATACATAGAACACTGACACCATCCCAAATTCCCAGGGACTGAGCCTATCAAGTGAACCACTTCATCCCATGTACAGACAACCCGGATCTGTCTTCTGTCACTTTAAATTAATTTGTCTAACTTACATGGAGCACATGGACACTTTGTCTGGCTTCACCTTAGCATAATGTTTCTGCAATCCAGCCACGCTGCTGTACACATCAGCAGTCTGCTCCTTTGCTCAGGTGAGCAGTATTCCAGTGCTTATATATCATGCTTGCTTTTCATTAACCTACTGGTGGACATCTGTTTACAGCTATGGGATACTATGAAGATACTATAAATATCTGTGCACTGGTCCATGTGAAGACCTGTCTCTATTTCTGTTGGAAAGTACCTAAGTGAAATTTCTAGGCTACATGATAAACTTTTAATTTTCTAAGAAAGTGTCAAGTGTTTTGTAATGTGGCTGTACCCAGACATGAAGATTTTTGTCCTGTTGCCATGAAGCCACATCTTTTTGATTCTTTGTTCTATTGTAGTTAATGTTACAATGTGTTTAAAGAGTGGATAACTCAGTGTATAAAGTGTCATTTTTGACCTGTTAAATTTTGTGTTCGTCTGGTTTTATTTCCTCCTGTCCCAGGATATTTTCCATGTTGTTCTCTGTCTTGAATTCTCTCCCTCACTTTTCTCTTAGGTATTCTTTTTTATCCTCACATCTTAAGTTCAAAAGTCACTTTGACAAGGAAAGCTTCCCTGAACCCTCAGATGCTCTCAAATCTGCCTTCCACAGGACAATCCATTCATTCAACAGATAATGAACATGCACAAAGCATTTTTCTGGGTTAGGAATATGGCAGAAACATAACAAAATTCCCGTCCTTACATGGCATGCAATCTAACAGAGTGAGACAGCAAACAATGTAAGCATGTTAAGTGCCATGAAGAAAAAGAGAGTAAGGGATACAGAATGACTGAGAGAGTAGGAGAAATCACAAAGTCATTAACAAAGTTGTAGGGAACGGTTCCTAGGAGAAAAAACTGTAATACGACAACATGAGGTGAGAATGAGTTGATTGTGCTTGAAGAGAAGTCAGAAACCCAGCTTGTGCCAAGCAGAGTTCACGCCGCCCTTCCTTGGGCTGCCCACCACTGACAGAACCTGACATGTGCGAATGTCCTGTTTCCATGTATTGGACCCACTGAAAGATCCTATCTGGTTTTGGTTGCCACTGAAGCCCTGACCCATAATATTTGCATGCACCCATAATATTTGTTGAATAAATCAGAGACTGAAAGACTAAATAAAGAAATGAAAAGGGCTAAAAACACAGCAGACTCATTTGTAACTCTAGAAGTGATGAATATAGTCAATTATACTGATTTATAAGCCCCACAAACATTACAGTAATAAAAGATTACAAATCTTTGCAATCTAGATAAAACTTGGATATATTAAATTGCATTTTTGTATCATTTTACTATTTAAAAATGTCTCCACTGTTGATCTGATATAATGAATGATTCCTAATCTGATTATTGGTAGAGACTGAAGAAATGGCAGTAAAGGGAAAACAGCATCTAAGGACAGTGCTCCTTTCCACTTCTCTCTGGTACTCTTCTTTTCATGAGCCAAGGAATCCATCTTCTATTTCCTGTCCTTTCCAGGTGATGACACAGCACTGCAGTTTCTCACTTACTTTAAATCATTTCCTTATTTTGTGTCAACTATAGCTGATTCTAAAGTAGCTGCCCAAGGGATAAAAATATGCATAGTAATGAGAGATCCTGCATTCTACACAAGTGAAATACTGCTATAAGTAAATTTAAGTCACAGAAATTCTACTGGCAATCAGGAATAGACAGGTATACCTAGGGCTCTACATGCCCTCTGGTAAATGTACAAACCATTGCTCAATTTTAAAATATACACAGCAACTGCTTAGCTAAAAATACAGATCCAAGTATTATGAGGTGAAAAACCAACACTATATTTTCAATACAAAAAAGCTGCCATGTGAACATACCTTCCTTAAGTAGGCTATAGCAGAACAAGCGTGCTCTTTCTACATCTCCGAGTTGCCGACAAATACCCACATACACTCTGCAGAGTGCATGAATGTAGTTGTGCTCCAGGGATGTCTTCTGAAGTTTTAGTTCTGAGAGAATAGAGTGAAGCAAGCACTCTGCTAAATGCTGGAGTGGGAGGGAAAAATAAAAAGGCAATGTACCCTGATATTTATCCTTAGCCTACTAAAGAAAAGCTAAAAGTTACAAAATTTAGTATCTACTAGAAAAATAAAACATCTAGCACTCTATCAGTAGGTAGCAGAAGGCAGTAACTGGAAACGACTCACTCAGAAGGTAAGCCAAGGGGTTCTGGGGCATTAAGTCCACACCTGAGGTACCTATGGTCAGTAGTGCTTAAGGTGCCAGATGGCAGATCTGAGCACACCTGTTGTCATTCCCACCATTCCAATTACAGTGTCTTGGTCTTTGCTACAATTTGTGCGTGCGCGTATATTGAACCCACTCTATCCTACTCCCTTTTGTTTTTTTAACTCCAGTGCATTCTACACATTCATCCTATTTAGATCTTAAAATATTAGGTAATATTTTTCTTGCTCAGGAAGAGAAGCATTAAGTAATCTAACATATTCATCCACTTGAAAATAAGTATCTTTCAAAATTACTTATACTGCTCTGTATGACTTCTGAAAGTAAGTGATCTAAGAAAAACATTTATACCATTTTGATTAGGAAAGTGTGCAGATAACCGACACAGTAAAATCATGTAGCACTGGAAGTCATCCACACAAGGTGTCAACATAAGGTATTTGGAAACTGTAAGCCTACAAAAGTCCTAATAAACTATAAGGAGATATGCACAACCCTCATCTTAAAACTGAACACCTGCTCCCACTTGATTTGCAACACACATTAAGGGACGGAGAAGGGGAAACCAAACCCACACGCTGTCTTTCTGAAAGACTCTCAAATTTTCAAATGTATGCATAATGCTATTCATTGAAATGAAATGCTGTTATGTGGTAATCATTTGATGCTCTCAAGTAAATAATTTCAAGCCTTTAAACATGTCAGAATCAACAAGAAATATGCAATTTAGGTTCTGACAGATACTTTTTCTTTAAAATGTTATTTGATGAAAATTATCAAACCTGTCATATCACATTTTACATGTGTAAAATCCTGGCTAGAAATAAAGTACAGGTCTCACTGTTTGTATGGATAACCATCAACATCTGAGCTAAAAGTTTTGTTGGGGTCCTCTGCCATCTTGCTGACAGTAGGCAGCCTGTCCCTGAAGATGGGCAATCCCTAAGGTCTTGGAAAACAGCTGCCACCTACCTTCTTTGTTGTGCTGAAGTCATAGACGACTTCTTTCTCTTGATCTCTCATTACAGGCTTTTTGGAGATATTTCCCACATACACGTGACTCCGAATGACAGGCAACAGGTCAAAGGAGGACTCTGCAATCTTCTTCAGGGCATCAGCTATGGCTTTGTCATGGGACTCCACAGTTTCTTTGGGGTTCAGAGGCAACTGTGAAACTGAACTGGTAGCTGGAACAGAACTTGGTTCCTCATCTGTCACTGCGACTTCAGCTTGAGGGAAGTTCCTGCAGGGGTGCTTGTTGACTCCTTCTGTAGTGATGCTCCCACTTTCTGATTCTGGGGACCCACTGTCCAGGCGCAATCTTTTAGCACTCCTCAGTATGCACGCGGACAATGTTCTTTTCCCACCTGAATCCTGCTGGGTTCCCAAGTCTCTGGACTTACCCTGATTACAGTCACCACTAGAGCTGCCCCGTGTTTTGACAAAGGCGGTTGACATGGAACTGATCGCTTTGAACCCTGTTATGGCACTGACAGGCCCTGGTAAATTCTGCCGGTCAGTAGGTGGACCTCGCGTAAGCTGAATATTCCCTTTGAGGATGTTGAGAGTGCGGGCCCTGGCAGATAACTCAGGGTACATGGTGTCAAGGATTTTAACAGAGTTCTCCTGGGGCCCAGCCACAGCAGTGTGGGCTGATGCACAGGGAGGCAGTCTACCTGGCACAGGAAGGGCGTGCTTTGGGGTGATGGCACAAAACTGCAAAGGAGATGACAATATCCTCTCCCCAGTGGATACAGCAGATGGGGATGGAGAGGTGCACGAAGGGGAGGCATGCCCTGTATCTTCCAGCAAAGGAGACATCATGGGTGGCACTGGAATCTCACACAGAGGAGAAAGCTGGCCAACAGGAGAGGTGGGTGAGGAGGGACTGGAACTTGATATTAGAGGAGAAACTGGGCGTGAAGTCCTCGGAGGCGTGGCAATCAACGGAGCAAGCAGGGGTGGCAAAGGGGGCCCCACCTCCTGCCGTATTTTACTCAGAGTGTCAGCGGAACAATCTGTAGGGGTAGAGGTGTCAGCATTGGCCAGAATGGTCTGAGTTTGAGGTCTCTGGGTTTTTGTGTTCACACTGTCCGCTGAAGGTGACTGAGAAACTTCACCTGGATTAGGTTCAACCCTGCCAGATGATGAAGTCTTTACCAGTTTGTTTGACTGATCTTTGTTTGAAATCTTTGATCGATTCTTGTTTTTGCCAAATGGTTCCAGTTTTGAGTTATAATACGTGTGATCTGATGCAACAATCTGAGACTCAAAGATTTGATCATAAATTTCAGAACTAATCCTTACACTAGGTTTAACAGGTCTATTTCGCAAACGACTTTTATCAAAGTTGGAACTCTGACCACTGCTGGAAATATCCTCTTGGGTACATGGAAGATTACTGCCACATGGGGGATCCTGAAAGGGAGAGCCAGGGCGGCTGGTCTCTGGGGACTTCTCCACAGATGTAATGGAAATGAAACCAGCTCCCGGCCCTCCTCCATCTGGGGAAGTGGGGTTGTCTCCAGGGGTGTCACACAGGATAACCTGGTCCACATTTGACATGAGAGGCACCCCATTTATAATGGTCCAGTTGTCCCCCTTTTCAATGACTAGATTTTGGTCCTTATTTATCAGCACATTTATAACTTCAGAAGTCACAGTAGATATCTGACACTGAAATGTCCTTTCTGCCTCACAATCAGCACTGTGCTCCGCTGTCAATCCAGCTCCTGAGTCAGAGCACTGGGGTGGGGGCTCTGCCAGTTCTGACAGGGTCTCGCCTCCACTGTCAATCAACCTGGTCACATCTGAGTTACCCTCAAGCCTCTCTTGAGTGTTTTCAACAGTAGATACCCCACTAATGGGAGAACTGCCCTTAGCACCCAAGCCAGCTGTTGACGGGGGTGGATCTGAAGGGTGCAATGAGGAGCCACTTATTTGCTGAGGTGAGACTTGTTCTTTTACATGTTTGGTTGTCAGACTGTCGTGTACACTGAAGAGCAGTAAATTACCAGCATCTTTTCCATCTGAGTCCTCATAGTTGGACTGAAGTTCCTGCCCAATCTTGGTTAGCACCTCGGACAGCGTTTCCAGAGAACACTGAGCGAGCTGACTGGCATCCCTTAGAGGACAATCATCTTCCTCGGATTCAATCCACTCTTCACAGGTTTTGAGTGTTCCTTCATCACAGACCTGCTTCCTGTACTTTTCTCCTGATGTTTCATGTTGCTTTAGTTCTTTGTTCATTTCTTTGTTTAGAGTTTCCTTGTTAGAATATTCTGAAACAGAGTCCCCTGAACTATAATCTCTTAATTGACAACTTTCAAGAAACATAACGACATCTGATGTAGAAAGTCTGTCTATCTCAGAGAGAGTACTGATGTTGAAGTCCTGCAGCGCTGAGGTCAGACAGCCCAACTCCATGGAAGACCTGGTCTCGGCAGCACCAGCATGTGTAGCTCGTGCATCTCCTCTGGAGGACTCAGCAGCAGTCCACCGCTGGTTACCCATCGCAGCCTCAGGCTCATTCTCACCCTCACTGCAGCTAGGGGCCTCACTCTCTTCCACCTCGGTGTCAACACCGCCCACCTCCCGAATGCCTGTGTAACAATACAGAGGACCAGGAAGGCTACTTTGGGGGAGAGCACGTGTCTCTTCATCTTTTCTGCCAATCTCTGGTAAAAAGGCAGTACTTGTGGCACCTGACCCTTTGGGAGAAGCACCACCAGGAGGTGGTGATGGCTGCTCCAGGGGCTCCTCTGGGCTTTCCTCTACACTAGAAGAGTCCTTTGAAATGGCCAGGGCTTCACCACCAGATCTGACTGTCTCTCCACAGGGTATTTCTTCAACAGGAAAACCTCCTGACACTGCCTTTTCTGTGGCTGAAGGAAGTTTATCTGCACCTGTCCCAGATGAGTCCAGACCTGTGGCATTCATACAATGACACTGCTCCTGTAGTTCTGCCTGTGCTGTGGGTTCTGTCATGTTTTGGTTTGGAACTGGAATATTTTCAGGAAAAAAAGATAATTTACTCTTTGTGGAACGAGAATTTTCTACTGGTAAAGAACCATTTGGGGAATCAAAATCTAATTTTCTCCAAGATGTGGAGATTTCTGGTGAAGTCCTTTTTGTAGCAGCCACCTCCTTGATGATCTGGGTCGTCTCCTCTCTTTCTCCACATCTTGCTATGGATGACACGCTATCAACATTTTCTGTTGCTAAGGCAGAGTCACTCCTATGCAGTCGCAAAGGTTCCGATCTAGCACTCTGTGTCGTTTCAGGCCTGGCCTGCTTGGTGATAACTGACACTTGGTTAGGCAACAATGATGCTGACCCTCTATTTTCTAAGGACAGCATTGCTTTTTGTAACTGACGGTTGGTCTCTTGTTCATGTTCTGATTTAGCTCTCAGCCTTTCTTCACTACCTTTCTTTAAGAGATCACTATGGTGCCAAGAAGTGCTTTTAGCCAAACCAAAACCACTCTTAATCAAGCCAGACTGAGACTCTACTAATGGTGCAATATCTGACTGATTTGGTGTGAGCTCAGTTCCTGGACTTTGACTTTTACACTGTCCACCTTTCATGGCTTTCATAAATACTGACTGAGGAAGAGCACATACTTTGGTCATGCCTTTTACAACTTTTGTACACTCTATGCCACTGCTACTCTGATCATGAAAATCAGATGCTCCCAACTCAGGGTTCAGAGCATGGAAGCTATTCTCCAGGTCATTTGCTCCTGCAGAACATTCTAGTGGCTCAGACTGCAGACCTGACACATTTGCAGTTCTAGCTTGTAACTTCTGTTCCGAATGACACACTTGAGTAGAGATTACTTCAGCAGGAATATGTGTATCATGACCACACTTAAACCCAGAGGAAGACTGGGGATTACTGTAGACAGACAATGCTCCCGAGGTAGAAGAGGAAGAAAATTTGGCTTCAACATCAAGCTCTGTTGCATCCATTACATCACCTGAATCTTCTTCAGGTTCAGGTGATCCTCCTAAAACAAATCCTTGCATATCTACTCTATCCTTTTCCAGTTCTCTAGATGTTCCCTGAAGATGGTCAGAAACTGATATACGGCCTGATTCACATGTGATTTCATTAGTTGGTGTCCACTTAAAGTCTGGTTTTGGTGATCCTATCATTCTGGATAATGGGGGTTTTCCTTCAGATCCCATGAGTTCATTTAATGGCCTCTTGCCAAGGGGAGAATAACACAGGTCTGACTTCCCAAGGGCCACTTCCTTCCCTTGTGTCAGGGTGCCAGACAACTTCTCAACATTCACACTTCTGGTGGGTTTACAAAGTGTTTCCTCAGTTTGCACTGATTTATCCATCTCCCTAACCTCTCTTTGTCCTTTTGCCTCCCCTGAAATGCCTCTTTTTCTACCACTCGTGAATTGAGATGACACTGTCCAGTGTTTCTCATGAGCTAAGGTGAAGGTGGCTGAAGGTTCTCCCAGCGTTGCTGTAAACGTCCCAAACCCAACAGCTGTCACTTCATTTACTTCCAATGTGTTTAGAGCTTGGGTGGCTTCATGTGAATTGGGCTTTTCCTGCCATGTACCACTTCCTTTATTTTTTATGGGTGAGCCAAAACAATCCTGTGTCTCAGGTGTATCATCTTCTGAATTAGACTCGACAGAATTTCTGTGTTGGGCTGAGTCATTATCACTGGAATCTGTATAGTCTCCGAAGTAGGTTTCCTTAAAAATAAATGTTATACTAGTTAATTAAATAATAATTCAACCCTCTAAAATATCGATTAAATGCATTAAAAAAAAGTACACGCTTCCCAAAGAACTCTTTAGAACATGTGAGGACAGGAAGTTAACTCTCTGGAACCACTGTAACAGGTGGGAAAGTCAATCACAAGTATGACACTGCTTGTCCTTTCCTAAGAGCCCATCTGTCCCCAAGAGTTATACGCATTCATACTTCTTTTCCCGTTAACAGGTTCTTTCAAGATCTAGTCAACACATAGCCTAGTGTGCAATTTGTTATCCTAACCTCCAAAAACTCCTACTTCTCAATTACTTCTCTATCTTCTGGTCAAAAAGGCTTCTGACTCTGGCTGCACAACCTTCTCTTTATCTCCACCTCCCAGTCACTCCTCCACCGTGTCTGACTCACATCTGACTCAAGTCCAGAGCACTGCCCTATATGCACCAACTGGGCAATCACACTGGGTGACTACTCATGGACAACTCTAGCCACACATTTCCTTACAAGTGCTGCAGCCTTGGAAGTTGTTATCACACGGACCTGCTCTACACCTTCAGCAGCATATGCAGCGACAACTCTCCCTCCCGCCCAGCATCTGCCTCCACCCCTGCTCCAGAACACTGCGTAACCACCAACCAGCCTCTTCTTGTGCTGCTTCCATTATATGTGGCCCACCAGGTGAGCCAACTCCTCAACCCCCTGACACCCTGTTCTGTAAGGGAAATGGCAGTCTGTGGAAGATTAGTCACTGCTGAATAGTCTTCCTACTAGTTAAAGAATTCTTTCCTCCCGAGTTCTAGAGTATCATCTCCTGGTTTTCTTTTCCTCCACTGTCCAGTCACTTGTTTTCAATCTTTCCTCTTCCCCATTCATCATGTAAATATTGACAATTCCCCAGGAATCTCTCTGAGACCCCGGCTTCTTTTTCTACACTCTTACTCAATGGCATCACACGGTCCCATGGCTCCTGCTGTACCCAACAGCTGAAGCATCCTAACACCTGTGTCTCAATGCAGACTCCCTTGATGCACCAGGCCCATGGATCTAAAAACACATACTACATATGTCCACTTGGAAATCCCACACCCACCTACACATTACCTTCCCACCCAAATAGGGCTTCTTATAGTTATTTTCAAACATCCTTGACTCCCCCACCTCCTCTAACAATCACTGAAAATCTCACCAAAATCTGCTCACTCAACCTCATAGTATTTTTCAAACCATCCCACCTCTTTATAACCACAATGTCACTATTGGGTTAGGGTGTCAAGAATCCAGAAAACTGCTGATTAAACAATTTCCCAATTTATGGTTTTGCCCCTTCCCTATCCCCACCCCTACTCATTCATACATTCACTAAACTTTTCATTTTAAAAAATCTATCATCAGGCTCACTTTTTAAAAATCCATCAAGATTTTCCCACTGCCTACATTAGGACACATAATGGCCCTTGTGGATCTGGTTTGTATAAATGTTCCCTAGCATTAAGTTCCCCCCAGTTCTGTTGTTTGCGTAAACAGCAATTCCACTTGAAATGCCTCACTCCCTTCCACATGTAGCTAGAACCTCCCATTCCTGAAGCATCTCCCATCCTTACCCCTCCACCTGGCCTCCATTCAGGACCAAACCCCTCTCTAGGTCCTCTCCAGCAGGGTGCGCTTCCCAGCACTGACGTGCTCTACTAAGGCCGTGTAATCGCCTGTTCCTTACAATCTGACTGTCACACAAGATCCAACCAAGTGGCAAACATGCCCTTGTCACCTCTGCATTCCTGGAGCCTAGCACAATGTCTGAAACAAAACAGAACTGCACTGTGTTTCCTGGATGAAGGAACTGATTTGAAGTTATACTGGCTCCTTAAGTAAAGAAGTCTATAAATCCATTTCATCCAAACTAACTTCCTAATAAATTATGATAAACCATGCTGCAAACACACAAAAAGGTGATGAGTTCATGAAGTGAAAGTGGGGAATTTAGTAACCTAGGTTAATGTATGCTTGTATACATGGATTTACCTATCTCTGAAAAAATCCCTGGCTACAAACATGTACTTAATTCATTTGTTCCATATCAGCTAAGAGCCCATCATAAGAAATAAGAAACAATTAAGACACATTCCTTCTACAGGAGACTTACAATTTGGTTGTGGATAAAGACAAAAATGCAACCATAACACAAAGTAAAAATATACATGTTGATCCAAAAGGCACTCGCAGGCCTTTTTAAATTCTCTTAATATTCCCTAATAAAATTTAGTCTGAGTACCACAAATGTTCTTTGAGTATGACTAACATAATAGGAAGAACACTATGCCCATTTGGTGACTCAAATTCAAAGTGCACACTCACAGGTGCAAGCGAAGACGGTAAGGTGCCCAGGTGTGGTAAGGACCCCAGAGGGGGTGATGGCACTGGAGACAAAAGAGGAGGGGGAAGCTTGAAGAAGTCAACTGCAGCTTGAAGATCTTCATCAAAAAAGCAATTGTGATCAGCAAATTCAGTACTGTCTTCATCATTCCCCGGCAGTACAGCTTCAGGAGGCTGGTCCTCATTACGATGCGCTGCTCCACTGGGCCGCTCTTGTCCCACATTTTTACACGGGGAGAAGTCACCCTCTATCTCCATGGACAGCTCTGCTAGACACGTCTGCACAGCAGAGGCTCTGGGAGGACTGCCTTCTACCCGAGTGGGCACACCATCATCCCCACACTCTCTGGGTCTGGACTTTTCTTCTGCAGGTTTTGCTGTTGTGGGGGGAGAGGAGAGGGAAGTAAATATTCCGTATTTACAATATTGGGAAGACTTAAAAAAAAAATCCCAACTTATTCTAACAGTTAAAAATTCTTACAATATTAAGTCCAAGTAAAAACATATTTTAAAAAACCGACCCCTTCCTAAAGACTGTCCTATAAAACCTGAACACACTTCACGTAAGTATGATTCACTCAGGATGACAGGATAAGACAGATGGATGGGCGGATGGGATATCCATGACCCCTCTGCAGCAGGGTGCAGGGTGGGAGAGCACCCGCAGTAGCCTAATGGGCCCTGGGCCCTGGCGGTGCGCTTGTTCTCTTGGTGAACCTTAAGAACAGTGGTACCTGGGAGAAAACAGCTTTGTGCATGCAAGTTGGCAGGGAACACGATATTCTGTCTGGAAAGTGATCTAAAATCCACTAATATCAAATCTACCCCATGACCACAGTTGAACAATGCTCTAATTAACAAACTAGAACTTTTTATTATAAGCAACAGAAAAAATTACTATAAAAAGCCAATGTTTTTGAGTCTTGATTTTGGTGCACTGCAGGGGTGCTAATTAGTGTCCGGGGAAATAATTAGAAGCATCTATTTGTCATATTTGAAAAATATGTTTTACAGAAGGTCTCAGGGGTCCTGGGAGAAGCGGCTGATTACAAGCCTGGGGATGGGAAACATAAGCTGGGCCTGAAACACCTTGCAGTGCCAGAAAGTAAAAAGGTACTCGGAACAGGATGGGGTGTACAAAAAGGGTCCAGGAGCCAATCAGAAGACGATCCCAATAACCAGAAGACGATCCCAATAACCAAAGCCAGGGTAACTGAACAATACATAACAACAGTACTGATTCATAATGCATGAATAAATACCTACAGAACCATACTGATAAGTGAATAAATAAATGGTAGGAAAGGAACAGCTCTTAGACAAAGTAGTCATTATGGTAAATAAGATCCATGGATGGCTGCTAAAATCAGTAGACTACAATTGGAGAGAAACAGTGTATTTGCAGTGTCAAAGTATCTCCCTGAAGATAATTAACTAATAGTTAATTTATAATGGGGAAACCTGGCAGATGCCACTGTAAATAAGTGATCAAGGTTAATATTCCCAGTGACAATGCATCTATTCTATAACCCCTCTCTCTATGTACATCACTCAAGGAAGGGTGCAATATGACCGCTGTGGAGTTCTTGCCATAAATACAAGCCTTAATCTAATAGGAGAAAACATCAGATACACCAAAACTGATAGGCCTTCTACAAAATCATCTGTACTCTCCAAAAGTAAAAAGACATGAGAGACAAGGGAAGATGGATGAATTGTCCGACTGGGGGAGATGGAAGGAGGAATAACGGCTAAATGGAACATGGGATCTTGGGAAGGAAAAATGACACTGGTGGGAAAACAGATGAAACTCACATATGGTTTATTTTTGTTAACCGTTTTGTACTAAATGTTCTGGTTTTGATTATTAGTGATGAAAAATGTTAAACTTTGGGGAATCTGGAAGGGAATAATAAAAGGATTTTCTGCTCTACTTTTGTGACCTTTTTCATATCAAAAGAAAAAGGAAAAGAATACATATATATGTATATGTATACATATATATGTGTATATATAGGAAAAAACATGTGTATTTTTTCTCATTTATGTGTACAAAAAATAAAATTCCAAAGATAACATTTTCCCCCGTCTATTTGAAAAAGCTAACATGAAGTAACAGACTTAGCTCTCTAAATAATTTGTTTTTAAATAAATGTATAAAATTATTAAATGAAAGACATCCCTTTTAAAAACATCTTTAACAACATAAAATCAAGTGCTTATAATAAAATAAGACTATCGGCTAGTACAAAAGACTGAAAAGAATCTGAGGCTGCTTTTGCCTGAACAGACGAATAAACTGTAAACTGAAGAGACTAATTTAGTAGCTGCAGGCTCTACATGGTCATGTTATCAGAGTTTTATCCGGTAGGTGACCCTAACAAATATGTAGGCCTCACAAGTTCTTAATTCACATAAATGAGAATTAGGAACTTGTCAGTTACCATCTTTCTTAGGGAACATCACCTGCAGAGTCTGAGAAGAAAAACTAGGTGCACATTTCTACAGACTTAGATCTTCAATATCTGTAAATTCATAGCAGCTAATCAAAGAAACTAGTACGATGACAACAAAAAAAAAGTTAAAAAGCATTTTAATCTTATGTAGGATAGCAATCTTCTCCCTATCTTCTCCAAGTGACTAATATCTATTTCCAAATCTTTGAATACAGTGTAACTGAGAATGTGGTAGAAAATCTCTGTGGGTAGTTTTTACTGGAAATCAAGATCCACCACAGATTAAGTCAAATCTCTGAAAATGCATTAGCTAATTGTGCTGTACAATAATAATCTGATCTGAAAGTTTTTATCTAACCATACCTGTATATCTGTATCCTAAAAGAGACCACAAATGCAGAATAGATTATAACTAAAATTTTGACCAAAGTAATCAGTAAGTTACATGAGAAACAAATTAAGCTAAATTGCTGGTGGATGAATGGAACTCATTATGACTGGAAAAGATGTTTGTCCTCAGTCTTTTGCACACACCTGTCAAATGATTCCACTGTGGGTCCTGTCTTCTTTGTAAGTTCTCTAATGAAAGTTGCTATTAAAAATTAAAACCCAAAGGCATTTACTGAGATTGGCAGAAGTCACACTGCAATGAAAGGAATTTTGTATAATTAAGAGCACCCATTCTAGCTTAGTTCATTCTTTAATGGAAATTAAAACATTAAAAACTAAAGGCACACAATACCCATGGTAAACATTTCTGCTTTCATGTACAATATGTACTTCTGGAAGCTTCTATCTCACCTGGGACACATCTGCTGCTTTCACCAGGTACTCTGTGTGTTGTGTTTATGCAGAGCCAGAGTTCCTTCAGAAGTAATTTTACTTTTCCTGGGAAAGAGAATAAAGTATTAAAGACACATTATTCAGCTCAATCTATGCAAGGCCAAAAGACAGTCCTGTGAAATCAGGACTTAATAGGAATTTAGAAAACTAAGTAACTTAAACATCTTCCCCAAATTCAACCACTGTGTATAACTGAGTTAGCTACTGATAGAAAGGCCTGCAACGCTTTAGCCCAAAACTGATGACTGAACACACGCTTGGGTTGTGTTTAAGAGAGGAGGGAGAATGGGAGTCAAAAACCAAATCTACCTGCTTTAATGGCTTCTATCACCTTTATGTTTGTGTGGAACAGATAAATCTTTGGCCTGTAATTTTTCTACAGAGAATGATATGTGACTGGGGAAGGAAGTAGATATCATGACTGATGTAAGAGATCTGGGCTCTATATATTCTGCAAAGAACAGGAGAGCAGTATCTCCTCAGTTATATGAAGTTATCAGAAAAGCCTCAGAGTTGACAATGCTGTAATTGACCTGGGGGCATCACAGATCATAGAAAAGCCATTAGTGGTCTTCAGGAAAAATGAGGTGAGACAAAAACGTGTGTACATAAACATATGGATAGGGAGAGATAATCACACAGAGAAGCATACGCTTTTCATGAGCAAAGCAAAAGCTCTGGAATTTTTATAAATTTTCAAAGGGGTCTGTCTGGATTCCTAAAATGGTTAAGAACCACTGGTTCAATGGTTCAAGTTGAAAGGCTAACAGTAGTTGTAACTAATTAGTTGTAACTAATACAGGCCCAATAAAATTCATATAATGTTAAGAATATTATCTATGGTTTTCAAGTGAGTTTAACATTAATAAATTTAAAAAAAAACTTCCAAAGCAAAAAAATATTTATAAAAATATCAACAGCTTGTGGTCAAATCTGCATAAAATGACAACCCACACAAATTAAAATTCAACTAAAAATAAGCTATAAATGTAAGGCAGTTTCAGGCCACTTCAAAGTTCTATTACTGTCTCCTTGATCATTAAGTTTTTTAATTAACCTGAATCATTTATTAAAAATACCAAAATCTCTAATCCAGCCTAGAGGCTAAAATAACAACCTTTTAAACGAAAATTTCTCCAAGGAATCACAAATTTTGAATAGGTCAGCTCTTTGGAAGCCGGCAAACCACATCACACCAAATAACAAGGTTCAAACAGAGGGACCAGGACAGAGGCACAGGGCGGGTTGGAAAAGCTGGGCATTTCCAACCTCCCCTGAGCCAATCAACCTCTGATGGTCACCCTGTGTGAGGCACATCCATTTTTGAGTTCCAAATTCTGTGATCAAGTAGCTTATCTACATTGTGATTTAACCTACCCCAAAGCCTGCTTCCAAACACTGTAATCCCCTTTGTTTAAATGACCTGACCAGGATCCCTGCTTATTACGTATACCCAAAGCAGCAAACAGGGAACCTTAAAAAAAAAGAAAAAAAGTTACTTTCCTATTCTTATGGAGGCTATTAACCAGAGCTATGCCTATTCTAATTGAGCACTCTTTCATTACTTCTAATCTACAAATAAAAGAACTATCCATTCCCAGCAAAGGAAAAAAAAAAAGACTTTATTGTGGCTTCACTATTTAGTTGGGAAAACTTATTAAATTGAACTGCACACCTTAATCCAGTATTTTAAAGCACTTCCTTTTTTCAAAATCTAAGGCACCTGTCAGTATTTCTGAACTTTATTTCATTGACTTGACAGTTTCCACATGAATACCACACTTTTTTAATCACAATAGTTTTATCATTGTTTTAATGTCTGCTCAGATCTTTTCCTTTTCACAAATATTCTGAACATCTACTGATTCCAGATGAAACTTCAGCCATCTGCTTGTCCTTTCCCATATAAAACCTCCATGGGATTTTGAGTGAGGCAGTATGTATTCACAAGTACATTTCAGGAAAATTCACATCCTTATCCCTGGAATCTTTCAATCCCAAAAATGTTTATGTATTCAGGTCTTCTTTAACACAATTCAGGAGTGTTTCATAATGTTCCTCTTGGGGGCACAGCACACTGCTTTTAGGTCTTTTCCTAGACACCTGATGGTTCTGTTGCCATCTGAGAATGTGTTGTTCTTATTCCATCCCCGTTCTAATGGAGTCATAATGATATACTGTATGTTCAACGCTTATATCACCACTCTCCCAAACTCCTACACTTGTATTTTCCAGCTGAGACTTTTCAATTTTCTACAGTCATATCATCTTAAATTATGACAATTTTTACTCTTCTTTATTAGTATCCACTGGCAGTGGCCTCCCATACATACAGAATGGAGGTAAGCGGAAGCACACTTGCCTTGACCTTGCTCTGTAAGTTTCATCTTTCTCACGTGCAAATGTTTTTATTCTATCATTATCTCACCAGTTTTTTTTAAATGAGGAATGTGTGCTTAATTCAGGTATCATTTTTCTCTTAACCAGTTGTTGCAGTATTCCTCAGAGAAATCCTTAAGTCATAATTTGTCTGTATTTGAAATTACTAGTAGATTTGAGTTATTAAAATTTTAGTTATATTCCTAAGTGGCAAAGCTCTGAGTCTTGAGGATGTGTATGTATGTTATTCTTAACTGGCTTTGGTACAGGGTTATGCTAGTCTAAGAGAATGAGAAAGAAAGCACTGTATATTTTTCTAAGTTTTAAAACAAATAAAATAATAACAAAGACATTAGGTTTCACTAAAGGCTTTACAGAGCTCAAAGGAAAGCCACCTGGATCTTCTATGGTATTAGAGCTTTAACTTTATTTCTTCTGGGTTCTTTTTCTATTCCAGTTTGCAATAACTACTGTAGTCATCTTTGGTAAAAAACAGTCCATACCATTAACATGATCAAATATAAATTTGTGAATTAAGATTCTCCCACTGTAGTTTTATAGGTTTCCCAGTCCTTGTGCTGTTAGATTTCTGTTCCTCCCTTTCTTGACCAGATTTGCAGAGACCTGTCAATTTCACCAGTATTACAATGACCCAGCCATTGGTTTTAAAGGTCTCAAATCAATTGCTTAGTATCCTATTTCATTATCTTATGTTTTCATCTTCATCAATTGCTTCCATATATTTTCCTGAGATGTCTGCTTTATCTTCCTGCATTCTTAGTCATTCATTTCCTGTAATTCTTGTTTTCTAAAATAATCACTGAAGACCGCAAATCATTCTTTTGCATACCATATTGGCAATATCTCAAAAACTTAATAAATGCTGTCCTATTGTTGTTTACTTCCAAAACAGTTTAGTATTTCCATTTTTATCTTGTTATCCAAGAAGGATTTGTTCATGTTTATATGCTTGCAGTTACCAGATAAGGTTTTGAAAGACTGGGGGGAGGGGAATAGGAATATATTTTTACTAGTATCTTATTAAACCTCAATATCTTAACATATATTAGATATGAGTTATTAGTAAATAGCTTTTACATGTTTTAAAAGTATTTTTAATTCTTATTATAATTTAAAAGTATTTTAAAATTGTGGTTTTAAAGAATCATATGTAAATAATCAATCTTGCAATTATGATTCCAATTCTGTCTCCTACTTTGTATGCTTTCCTATTTCTAAGAAACAGATTAAAGTCTCCCATGAAAACACATTTGCTACTGCCCCTCGAATTTCCAAGCATTTTACTTGACACAGTTTCATGCTTTTTGATCCATGACAGCAGACTCTTCCTGGTAAATTGTACCTTTAGTCAATCTAGATATTCCCTTTTAATCTATGTAAATTCATTTCTAGGCTTGAATTATTTTTTGCCTTAGATTACACCTTTTAAGTTAGCATTTGTTTGGAATTTCTTTATCCATCCCTTTATATTATTTTTTCTATTATTTGATTTTAAATATATTCCCTATATATATATCAGAGATGAAGAACATACACAAAAGTCATGCTCAACACTTGGGAGCCTTTCCAATATAAACATCACATCTGTGCTAAGCTCTGGGAAGTTTCCTTTTGTGATTTCTTGATCACCTTTTCTCCTCAGGCTGTTCTCTCCCAAGTGGTTCTAACAGATAACTATTATGACATCCAGCTCTGTCATCCAGGTTCTTACATTTTCCCTAATACCTTTTATTTCCTTGTTCTTTTGTACCATGTTCTCAGAGATACCCACAATAGATCTCAGAAACACTTACATTTGTCCATTCAACAATTCAACCTTTCTAGTGGGTATATTTCTACAATCATATTTTTAATATACCAGAACCCCAATTCTAACTTCATAGCAGCAGCCTATGTGTATATTCCTAGACTTTCTCTAAGGATACAACTCAGTTTTTAAAATTTAATGTGATTCATGATTTCATACTGTTTCCTCAGGGACTAGCTCTTCTCTTTGAGCTTTGGTGCCTTTCTTTTTTGACACTGCATTTTCTCTGTTTTCGGTAAAAGCTTAGGCAAGGTATCTTTGATAGCCAGAGTATGTTTCTTCGGCCTACATTTTTTAGTCCTCCACTCACAATAAATGTAGTTTCTCATATCATAAGCCTAAGCAGCAGTCCTTTTTGGGACCTTTTTGGGACCAAGGACCAGTATCATGAAAGACATTTTTTTCCACAGACAGAGGGATGGGAAGGGATGGCTTTACAGCCTGCTACCAGATGCGACTTGTCACTTGCCACTCACTGATAGGGTTTTGAATCTGCAAGCAATTGGTTTATTATGGTCTTTGTGCAGTCAAACCTCTATGCTAATAATAATCTGTATTTGCAGCAGCTCCCGAGACCTAGCACTGCAGTCTCAGCTCCACCTCCGGTCATCAGGCATTAGATTCTCATAAGGAGTGCGTAACTGGATCCCTCGCAGGCACAGTTCACAGCAGGGATCGTGCTGTAAGAATCTAAAGCCTCCACGGATCTGACAGGAGGCAGAACACAGGCAATAACACAAGTGATGTGGAGTGGCTGTAAATACAGATGAAGCTCTGCTCTCTGGCCAGCTGCTCACCTCCTGCCATGCAGCCCGGTTCCTAAAAGGCTACAGAGAAGTACCAGTCCATGGCCGGGGCATTGGAGACCCCTGGTCTACAGGACCCTGACTTCAGAGGGAGGGGAGATGGATAAATGCAGTTGTGACGACTTCCATGGAGTATGCAAACATCTCATTTTCTGGGACCAGGAGCAGCTATCCTTCAAAGCAGCCACAATTCCCAATTTTTGCACCCACTCTGGCTGTTGCCCATGGCATAACTAACACTTTGGACAGCTAAACTTTGGGCCATAGCCTATGGACAAATGTCAGAACCTGTTTCTGAACCCAGAAGGGTTGCACACTCTTCACGCCTTCATCAATGCCCTGGCAAAATGCTGCTGTCCTACTCCTCCTCCCTCTCCCTTCCAGCTTTGCTCTGAGGAAACACAGGGCTTCTGCCATAAAAGCTTGCTTTCTGGGTGCTGCTATTTTCTTTGTAACTTGGGGCTTCATCACCAATTGATACCAATGGCTTTATCTAAGAAGAGCTGTATTTTATTTTCTGCCATTTTTACTGGGATTCAAAAGGAAAGGAAGGCAAATGTGGCACTCAGCCAGCCTTTTTAAAAGTGAAATCAATACTCTTTCTGCCTAACTTGTAAATCTCTCTCAGAAGTATTAAAGAAAAGCATTAAAAATACATTTAAAGAATTAGGAATTAAACCCATCAAAGTCCACAATTTAATAACCAGCTGATTCCTAAAGACTAAGTAAAGACTTCATTTATTTAGAAAAAAGTAAAATGTACAACATACAACATCCCAGCACTCACAGGAAGGAAGGGAAGGTCAAAACAAAATAAATTTTACTTGGAGATAGTAAGAAGTTCTTTGAGGAAAGTAAAACAGAATATAGGGACAGAGAGCAACAATAGGAAGGGGGTAAAAGGGTTCAGTTCTAAATAGCAAGGCCTGAGAATAGCTGAAACCTAGGGCAAATCCGTCAGTCCAAAAGAGATCATTAAATTCAACAGCCGACTGCTACTTGGGAAAGCCAAGTGTTGTCCAGACCTCTATTTCTCTCAGCAACAGCTATTACTAAGAGTTTCACTTTCCACACACAAGAGCAGAAAGAAGAGTCAAAAGCACTCGAATTATATAGCACTGACAGTGATAAATCAGTGCCCAGGTAACTGAAAGGTAAACTGTTAAAGTCTTAAACCACACTCACAGAAAATGATCTCATGCTCTGAATTTAAAAAAAAAAATTAAAGGAAGAAAAAAGATAAAGACTTCTGAAAAGACACTTTTAATTGTACAAAACACTGTAAGAGGTTTTAATAAAATCCATTTTGGGGAAAAAAACACATTAGTGACATGAAAACACCAATATGTACATTTTAAGTTTATATACATTTTAAGTTTATCCCTACCAAACAGGGAGAAATGGCAGAGCAGAAATCAATGATCTTCCTTTTAAAAATGAAGAATAAAAGCATGAAGAAGGGAAGTTAATGGCCACACAGTGAATAAACATAAATATTAAAGTGAAAACTCTAATTTCTCAACTTCCCAGTTATACCTCCTCATCTACAAGATCCTTCAGGGATAAAAGGTGCACGTGCGTGCACGTTTGTTACTTCTCTTGTGAAGCTTTTTACTACCACCTCATTTTTCTTTGTAACTTTTGGTCTTCCCTAAAAACTTTTGTCTTCCAGGAGTACACTTACGAGGGCTTTGACTCCAGTTTTCCTGCCTGACAGTAACAATTTTCATATATTTGGCACCTAAGAAATTAACTTGATAAATTGCAAACAAATGAGAAAACCATACTTATTTACTGAAAAGTGTGGAAATTACATCACTTTGGCCAGTTTTCATTTCCCAAACAATATTACTTTTTCACGTTTTCTTCCACTGAGCTATTTTATCAAACGGCAGGGTGATAATAATACACGGATCTAATGGAGATCTAGGATATGACTACTTCTTCCATGAAATATCTATCAAGTCCTGAAACTTTCACAATCATAGGTAACAGCAACAAACCTGCTCCCAAACCACTAAAAGTAATGCACAGAAATAAAAACAGAACTTGGAATATACTCACTTTTATCTATGCTTCCATAAGAATCACTTGAAATTTGTGTTCCAATGTGTCTCAACTCTAAAACGGCAGGGGGAAAATGGTTAAAAAAACAATACTGGGTATCAAAATGGAATTTTTATGCAAGCCATTAACTGAATACTCACCCTTTTCATTTTTCTGCTTAGAAAATTCATCAAGCCTTTCCTGTGAAAACAAAACACTAACAGGGTTTGTAAAGTACAGAAGCACAGCCACTCTAGCACTAGGTAAAGGGAGGCACCCTGACCAGCGCTGCTGGCTCTTTCCCTTGGGGGCCTCATTCCTGACTCCTGCATGATTAGAACCCTGCATTTTTTCACAAAGGACACTGAGGAGCCCTGAAGCCAGAAATTTAAATGTGTGTGCACTGTTATCTATTACCTGTGTCTTTTTAAATTCCTTTTCAAGTATTTTCTTTTCATTCCTTAGTTGCTTGAAGTCCTGAGTTTGCTTGACGGCAGCCTCTTTAAAGAGTGCAGGGAAGTAAGAAATAAAAGTTATCAACTTTACAACTATCATTAATAAAATATTCGAAATCTAATCTACTGAGAGTTTTTTCATTTCTTATAACTTTGAAAAACATTTTGTAAAAGACCACTATTCTCTATTTTATCAATCAGGGATAAATGCAAAAACATTTTTAGCCTAAAATATTATCTCTATTAGCTATAAAACCATAAAATTGGCACAGGCCCTAGAAATCCTTTGCAATTCCAGCACAAACCAACCCAAAGCCTCTAGTCAGGCAAGAACCCAACATGTACGACCTCTGGAGAGACAGAGGCCATGGTCCCTCCCCTCCTTCTTCTTCAACAACCAGCAACATTCAAGGTTTACAGATTTTAGAATACTGTTAATACCATTCTCTTTACTTGGGGAAAGGGACAATCCTCTTTATGTTTACTATATTGTTACTCCTTTCTGGAATTCCCTTCAATAAGCTAGTAGTCATGACTGTTGCTAACTTTCTTAGAGATCTATAGTTGACTCTTGAACAACACTGGGGTTAGGGTGCTGACCACCAAGTAGGTGAAAATCCTCATAAAACATTTAGATACCCAAAAATGTAACTTCTAATCGCCTACTGTTGATTAGATGCTTTACCAACAACATAAAATGACATTTACCACATTTTGTAAGTTATATGTATTACAGAAAATATTAAGAAAATCGTAAGAAAAGGAAAATACATTTACAGTGTTATTTATTGAAAAAAATCCAAGTGTAAGTGGACCCACTCAGTGAAAACTTTAGTGATTCAAGGTTCAACTGTACTTTCAAGGCATTGTTATAGGAGTTGTCTGAATCTTCAGCCAACTATTCATTCCTGTTTTGGGTTCTGAGGCACTGTACAGCCCAAGTATATGTTAAGAATCTGAGCAGTACTAACTTTATCTGAGTACGTTCATACACAATCGTTATGAAAAGTAATATCCCATAAAACACCAGAGTAGCAATCCTTTTCCGATTCATTTTGATAAGCCTTAGTACCTCCTTATACAATTATTATTCCCTATCATTTACTAGAAAAAAAATTTGTAACATGGAAAATAAAGGTTACACTTTTGCTTCAAAGGAATTCTGTTCTAAAAGTTGTAAATAGTCTCAAAGGCATTTCAGATCTTTTTAAAAATATTTCCTTGAATAGATATTTATCTCCACATACTAGCAAGAGAGGGCAATATTTATAAAGAACACAGTGCTGTTGTATTTACTGCTATACTATTAATGTTTGTGCAACAATGAAATCAAAGAAAAAATTATTACCAAAATATTTATAGAGTCATAACCTTAAAAAAATGAGGTTCAGTCAGGGTAAACTGATGACTATTTTCTTGTACCTATATATCCTGATCCAACTAAAATTTAAATCTTTACTTCACACTCTAAATGAAAACTATAGCATTCTTTGAAGCAGAGTCCTGTAAGTATGATGAAACAGCGAAATGCAGGGTCAGTAAGCCACAGAAGATTTAAGAGGATTGCTAAAGCCCATGCGGGAATAAAAGAAACATGTACCAGGATGAGTCTTACAGAGAGCTCCTTGTCTCTACTGGATGTTATTTCCACGTCCCAACCACCCCAATGAAAGAGGAAGAAAACAGAAAAAAAGATTTTGCATTCAATTCCTGACAGGGTTATTAGCTGCCCCATGAGCACTGAAAAGATCCTCATAGGGCGCCTCTGCACTCTGCCTATTCAGTACGGGCCAAAAACTCCTAACAAAACAATAGGGCATGGGGAAGACCAAGGACAAAGTGACAATCCTCAAAGTAGGTAACTTCACAGAAATTTCTCCACTGGTGATGTCATAACTATCTAAATACCTCAAGTTTCTTGGTACTGAAAGTAGTAACCTTCTCTACTAACCACTGATTTCATTAGGAAAAAATGAGAAAGCCCCATAAGATTCAAATTTCAAAATTAAATCCTTTTATTAATCACTGCTTTTTACAGTAAAAGTATAGGCTGCTATTATCTTGAGTGCAGCATTTCAAGGGTTTGCCACATTCCACTTTCATGCTACTATCCAGTAACTGAAAGGAACTCAGTATTCAAACTTCTTCCCCAATGGTACCCTTGAGTACAGTCACCAGGGACGTGCCATCAAAGAAACCACAATGACTCAACTACTTAATCAAGTACTACAATCTCTTAGTTACCCTGAGTAGCTAGATACCAATAGTGCCATTACCTTCCAGCTTCTTCACCTTGGCTTCTAGTTTCTTTTTCCTAAAAATAAAATTTTGTATTTTAAAATGGTAAAAAAAAATATGTATATAACAGAAAAAAATATACACTATAATTTGTGGTATTTATTTTTAATTACTGAGATTTACATAACAAAGTAAATGACAGTCACAACAAGCATCATGCATCAACCACTAAAATTACCAGTGACTACTCTAAAGGTAGAGCAAACCTAAGAAAAAAACAGTATGCCATTTAGTATGTAATAGTTGTAAAATGGATTAAAGAAATCTGTATTTTTCTCTCTGAACCACACTGGCCTCATCTATCAACCAAGCTGATTTGTCTGGATGGTCTCTTAGAATCAGTGCAGCCTCTAATTAACAATGCTGCTTTTGCAAGCATGGATGGTTGGAGTGCTCACAATACCGCTGTTAAGAGAGGCCTTGGCTGGAGACGTGCACTCGTTTTAGGATGGATTTGCATCAGAAAAGGGAGGTAACTCTGCAAAAGGATCTCTGAGTTTATCACTTTATCAACATTAAACTACCCTGGCTGGTGTGGCTCAGTGGACTAAGTGCCGGCCTGCTAATAACTAAAGGGTCGCTGGTTTGATTTCCAGGCAGGGCATATGCCTGGGTTGCAGGCCAGGTCCCCAGTAGGGGGCACGTGAAAGGCAACCACACATTGATGTTTCTCTCCCTCCCTTCCCCTCTCTCTAAAAATACACAAAAATCTTTAAATAGATAAATAACTATGTTAGCTCACAAGTTTGTTGAATAATGTGAATACAGAATTAAACTTAAAATAATTAACTGGACGCTTCTCAGCAGCCCTTTCTATGAATCGTAACAGAGACACTCACTCTGTATGATATCTGTTAGAGTGCTGGTAGAAAGAAAGGAGTGTATAGTGTTTATACACACAGATACACAAGCATGCATGCCATACAAAGGCATAAACATGTTTACAGAGTTCTTTCTTTGTATAGCCCTTTGACATGTATGGCTTTTTTAACCCTCTTTATAATCCCTCAAGATAGTTACAATGTACATTTGACAGATGTGGACACCAAGGTTGAGTGACACTCAAGACTGCACAGTTAATTACAGCCAACAAACCCAAAGATAGGCAGAAGAGAAACATTTATTAATTTAAGAATTTTCAAAGATGAAGACCCTATTTCCACAGTCATTTGAAAACTACTTACTGAGCATCAGTTTTCAAGCATTCTTCTTTTACACGAGCATATTCCTGATGAGTATCCTGATACAACTTTAGAGAACTCTAAAAAAAATAGAAATAGATATATACTGTCAATTTGGAAGTCATGACCATCAGAATAACTTATTTTGAGCTTGAAAAGCTACATTATCATCATTTAAAGGTATGAAATTAGTCAAATGAATAATATGTTAGGAAACTGAAGTACAATTCATTGAACATTTTAAAGGATATAACCCCCTCCTCATTAGATGTAATGTGATTACTAATTTATGAAACTGAAAATATATTAATTTTAAGGCAATTAAAAATCTTCATAATATTGAATAGTTAATATTTTTACCTCAACCAATTAAAATTCAACAAAACCTAAAGAAACTTTAGAGCTTAATATAAGCTACTGTTACTACAACACATAAAACAAGTTGTTACTACTAAACATAAAACAAGTTGTTATACTTAACAGTTACTGAAAAAAATGTGTCAACCCCAACCAATATATACACCTTCATGGCCACAATGGAATGAGAAACTGTTATTGAATAGCTTTATATCATAATATGATGTGTATATGACATTCATTCCTTTAATCGCCATAGCTCTGAGAGAAGGGCTGTATGACCTCTTTTCACAGATGAGGGGTCTGAGGGTCCACACAATGACTTAGTCTTCCAAAGTCGCAGTGAGTGAGTGTGGGGGGCTTATCATTTAGCTGACTCCAGTTCCTGTTTCCTCTCAGATAAGACCGATGAGATTATTATACAATCAAGAGGTAGACAAAATTCAAGGTCGGGGTTGCTATTGTTTAACTTTCACTGCATAGTCAAATATATAATAAAGAATATCTACAAAAATAGCAAAATCAATCACTGTTAAAGTATGTAAGACCTCAGACAAGTGTGTGGCATTGCTAAAATGCCACAATTTGAAGACTGAGAGGCACAAACACTATCCTGTGAAGACCTTAGAAAATAGGCAGAGAAGCCAAGAATCATCCCAGCTTGGCTACAGCTGGTCTTATGCAAACCACCTCACTTTATTAGCTTCAGGTTTTTCTTAACTATAAAAGCCATGAATTCTCTTCTAAGACTCCTATGAAGAGGAACCAAAATGTATTTTAAAAAGCTTATACTATATTAAATAAACTTCCTGCAACCTGATCTTGAAACGGAAAACATGCTTTTGCTACCTTTAATTTTTTTTCATGTAATTTTACACTTAAAGAAAGAAAAAAGTGAAAGGGCAATCAAAGGCCATCAATGCAGGACACAAGGAGCCCCAATTTCACAGCTAGAAGGTTCCTCTAATGAACCCCTTTCAAAAAGTGTAACAATGAACACAGAATTAAAGATTTAATGGTTACTATAAGGACCAAGCCATACGTCAGCTAGTTCAATGGTCACTAAGTATAGTGACACACTTAAAGTACCCTGACTAGCATTTATTTCCTTTGTTAACATACAAAATGTCCCCTTATCCCAGTAACAATGAATCAGAATCTCTTAATTAATTGAAGACAAAGCTTTGGAAGAAAATTACTTTAGGTACCTTTTTTTCTTCCAGCTCAGCTTTTAAAGATCCCAATTCTTCCTGACATTTCTGCAGAGGAGAAATTTTTTGAAGCATCTGTTCCACTTGGTGATGCAGAGTACTGTTCTCTCTAAAAATGGACAATGTAGTGAATTATTAGGTATATCTATTGGTGATTTTCAACTGTTTTCTAAACCAAAACAAAAAAGGAATAAAAGACTTTCTCTTTCTAAATGTATTCTTTCTATTAATACCAACATGATCCTCATGTTGCTTTTTATTTCTCTGGCATTGTAGTCTATTTATTTCTGGTAAAAGTATATTTAAAAAAGCCACTTAAGAAGCAGATACAGCAGATGCTCAATCTGCTGGAGAATATATTAAAGGGCAATCTGCCAAGTAAGTTGGCTTTTCCAATCTTGAACTCATCCCTATTTATTCAAATTAAACGACAGACAATGTTGTGGTTTTTTGCCTTCTCCTAAGTGATCAATGTACTCAGAGTATGAAATATTGCTAAATTTTTATGTAAGTCTATTTTAAATTGTTTCAAATACACAAGATATCCCCATTAAACGGTCCAATTCACGCAGATGACGATAATTACATAATAATAAGCTTCATCTCAATGGTGACATGATCAGTAAAAGTTACTGAAAAGTCAAACCAGGTGATAATTTAAAGCCTTAATAAAAATTTCATTTGGACAATTTAATAGTAAGGAAAACATGAATTTTCTTTTATCATGATCATCAAAGCAGCATTCCAAATAATGTGTCAAACTTATACAGCACTTTGTTCAAATCCATTTAAAAATCTAGGCAGATAAATGTCTTGCCCAAATCAACTATTAAAAAAGATAGCTTACCTTCTGGCAAACTGCAGCTGTAAAACTTGTTAAAGAAAACTCTGAATATTTTACCTACTAATACTTGTCTGAAAACAAAACTCACTTAAAAAATGTGTATTCAATGTGCATATAAGCAAGATCATAATTCCTAGGAAATATTCAATGTTTCATCTAAAACATACATGTAACAGTGATAAAGATTTTTACTAAATTATTCCTATTTATAACATGTACCAAGAGTCAAAATATTCACTTCTCTAAATTAAAAAGATATGATTAAATATATGATTAATATTAAATTCTAAGCCCTGATAGGAGTGGCTCAGTTGGCTGGGTGTCATCCCACAAAGCACAGTCACTGGTTAGATTCCCGGTCAGGGCACATGCCTAGGTTTTCGGTTTGGTCCTGGTCATGGCACATATGGGAAACAACCGATGGTTGCTTCTCGCTCACATCAATGTTTCTCTCCCTCTTTCTTCCTTCCCCCAATAAATAAATAAATAAATAAACAAGTAAATAAAAATTACACAAAAATTGAATTCTAATAAAGACAATATGAAACTGATCAAAAATATCTTGAATCTTGTATATATCAGAACCCCCAAACAACCTGTCCTTTCTTTCTCAGAGTCCATACCATAATTCCATCAAAAAGAGTTACATTCTTACTAAAACAAGAGGAAACTACATTCAATGAATAATAAAGAAAGAAGATAGGGAGAACATAAAACCTAGATAATCCCTCACTTTTACAATTTACACAATTTGAAAACTTCACTTCTCATCTCAAGCTGCCAGTCATGTTCTAAGATAGCAACGAATGCTTCATTTAAGTTTCATCTCCTATAAATTCCTACTCGTATCACAATATAGCAAATGTTTGTAACAAGTCTGTATCCTCCTATTAGAATGTAAACTTCTCAAGATTAAAGAATGTATTTTATTCATGCTAAACTACTGCAACCTTTGCAAGAAAAAAAAAGCTCAAAAAACACCCGATGACATAAAATATACTGTGCCCCTTAGAAAAAGGAATAGGCAATGAAATGGTCAGAATTATACAAAAAAAGTAAGATATCAAGTTAGAAAGCCAAACTAACTCTGCAACATTGGTATTTCAAGATGTAGAGCAAATCACTACATACTTGAGGTTCAACAAATATCTATTTTGGGCAAATGCCTAATGAATTTTTTTAAAAATCCGATTACCACATCACAGAATGAAAATTCAAGAACTGAAAGATTTATCAATTTTTAGTAACTTATTCTAACAATTTTGATTTTGAAAATTCTGCAAATTTTAGAAAAGTAAATAATTTTTCTTGCTTGTGTAACTACCTCAAAAAGATTATGCCATTTCTTACAAAAATCATGTAATGAACACACATAGCAATAAACATCTCAATGGCAACAGAATCAGCAAATGGAACTGACTGCCTGTTTTCCTATGTAGCTAATTAAAAGTACTTGTAATAACTCTCTGTACAGTTTTTATAAGCAAAGATATTACTCTTGCAATAATACACATTTACAGTTAAATAGACTGATACTTTCATCAAATAAGGCACAAGAAATTTCAATGACATATTTTTATTAATGTAAAAATTCAAACACGAAAAGTAAACCCCAGTGTTAAATACCTTGATTTCACTGCTCTAATCACACAAATGAGGTGTGACAGCAACACAAACAAATACGTTCAGGGTACCAGAAGCAATACTGAAGCTGACCTTGAAGGGCTGCCAGCTGTGAATAGCTGAATCTGCCCCAATATTGAAGCTTAGGTTGTACCTCAGTGACTTCCTGAAAATGTATGTGTGTTTTTATGAGAGAAATTTTATTTTTATGGGAGAGAAATAATTCAGGGTAAGAGTCATCACACAAGATGAGGAAGGATCAATTACACACACTATTTGAACACTGCCAAGAAATTACTCCACCAGAGGCCAACTACACCACAGGTGCTCTCCAAGGTTATTGAACAAATGGCGACTGTGCGACTAGAGATCACTTGGCGTGTACGCGGTACAAGTAAAAAAGACCTACTCATTGAAAAGCTTGCGACACCTTAAGAAAACCAAAATCAGTAACAAAAATAAAATAAATGCTCAAATAAGGAGACCAGCAGTCTTTATCACAAAACATGTAGTAACAGTAAAGGACCAGCTGTTTATTCTGCTCGTCAGAAATACTTCCTACTTTAAGCCTGTAAATAATGCCCTCCAAAAGATAATATGAATACCTGACATTTCTTTAAAAAATCACAAATAAATTTAAAAATTCAAAGGAAAAAGCCAATAAAAGGATATCATCACATTTCTTCTGATATTCTGTTAACAAATTACTGCAACAACAAAAAAAGAATTGTTATACTATGTTAAAATTATGTTTCAAAATATGCAAGGTACTTCTCTTCCTACAATGAATTTATGTTTAATTATATATACAAACATACATATATTACCCTAAATTCCTTAAAAACAGAGCATTGATACATGAGCTTTTCACTTAAAATCCTTTTGATCTAACCTCTTAGCCTATAAATTATGTGACTTCTATAGAATTAAAAATAAATAAATGAAATACTGAGGAAATTTGATGCCCTGTCCTAAAGCTAAGAAGGCTTTGGAGATAGAAAACAGCTTTAAAAAAATGTCCAGTTTAGCAAAAATCACTTCCTAAGCCATGAGCCTTGTTGTAAAAGCCAGTAACAGAAGGTTAACGATGAGGACAGGTGTTTCATTATGATCAGAACAACACTGCGTGGGCCTCAGAAGAGAAACGCCAGCTCGCCTTTCAGGCCCCGGGGTCTAACACTGCCTCCTGCTTCAGCTTGTCTGTCAAGTCCACAAAGTTCAGCCACTCACATGAAAACATACTCACTCTGTATTAATAATTTTTTGCTTCAAGGTAATTAATGCTTCGACATATTCATTTAAATTCTGAAAGAAAAAAAAACACTACAGTCAGCTACTTGTTTTAACATAAATTAGTTTAAATATAATTTTACTATAATGTCATTATAAACATACTGTTTACTGCATTACATAAACACAGAAATATATAAACCTATTATTTCATTGTATATAACAGAGACATATGCTGTGTGATCCTGAGCTCACACTGCCTTTTTATGAATCTCTTTTATCTGAATGATAACTCTATGAGCAAGGTAGGTGTACAGATGCTCTGATTGTATGCACCTGATTTCAGTGTGGCGCACTCAGTTTATACTGCAAAGCATCAACAAGCTTGGAAATCAGTAACACCAGGTTCCTCTCAGCCATGCCTCACAGAAATCAGTCCTCCCTTATCTAGCAAGAGCTTTGCTTTTTGAAGAAGCCTCTTCCTGGAACACTGTGAACACCTGCAGCAGGTGGACTAGACCAGGAACAGAGGGATAGGGTACACCCATGCACACTCGCTGCCTGATTCTTCTCCCCATGGAGCTCTCAGACCGTGACAGCCAATCTTCATGTTCTCCAGGCAGAGACAAGAAACAATTTCCCTGAGGATCTGGAGAACTCTAACCAGCCTGGAGATAAGATCTAATGGTAATGACATCAGATATTACTTAATCCATAAATGGCCCACCCAGAACTACTGCAATGAAGCTCAGACAGAAACTTGTAACATGAAAGGCCAAAATACCTTGGAGTAAGTAAAAGCTGAGAAGCTTCGAAAAAATTAATACAATCTGAGATAAATTAATTAAATTCATGAAATAAGCAGTTTTTAAAATAAATAGTCAGAGCTCTTAGAAATTAAAAGAAAAAGCTCTTAAAAATTATGATTATAAACACCCGCTAGCATGGCTAAAATCAAAATGACAGGCAATAACAAGTGTTGGAGAGGATGTAGAGAAACTGGAACCCTTATACATTGCTGGTGGAATATAAAATGGTGCAGCTGCTGTGGAAAATAGTTTGGCAGTTCCTCAAAATGTTATTAACCATATGATCTAGCAATTCCACTCCTAGGTATATATCCAGGAGAACTGAAAACACATGCCCAGGCCAAACTTGTACACCCTTATTAATAGCAGTATTATTCACACTAGCAAGAAAGTAAAAATAAACTCAACGTCTATCAACTGATGAATGAATAAACAAGATGTCATACAGATATACAATGTGATTATCTGACAATGGAAAGGAATAAATGACACATGATACAACATGGATGAACCTTGAAAACATTATGCTAAGTGAAAGAAGCCAGACATAAAAGATTCCATGCTGTATGATTCCGTCCACGTAAATTGTTCATAATAGGCAAATCCAGAGACAGATTAGTGGTTGTTTGGGGTGGGGGTGGGGGGAGTGGTGAGGAGGCAGTGGAGGACGGAGAGTAACTGCTCCTACAGGGAGGGACAAAAGTAGGTTTACAGTTGTTCATATGAAAAATACAATGATAAATAATAATATAAGAATAAACTGTTTCATGTAGTCACAACTGTAAATCTACTTTTGCCCAACCCTGTATTGAAGAGGTTTCTTGGCAGGGATATACAAGTGTGTTGATGAACCTCTTGCACGATTGCATAGTGGTGACAAGGTAACTGTGAACACACTAAAAATCACTGAATTATACACATTAAAAGGATGAATTTTATGGTATATGAACTATATCTCAATAAAATTGTTGTAATGAATTAAAAACAGGTAAAGATCAGATGAAATTGAAAAAAACTGTCCCCCAAAATACAACAAACCAAAAACATGGAAAACAACAAAGAATAAAAACAATTAGAGTCAGTGTAAGAGGTAGCCCCACATGCCCAACAATAAGAATTCCAGAGGGAATAATAGAAAAGATGGGGAAATAACCAAAGAAATATTGTTCAAGGAAAAAATCTCAGAAATGAAGCCAGCAGTTCCGAAATTAAAGGGCCCAACACTCAGATACAAATAGGATCCAAACCATGACACATCAGTATACAGTTTCAGAACATCAAAAACAAAGCAAAGAATCCTGAGAGAAAAAGACAATGAAACAAGTCATACGCAAAGAATGTGAAATCAGAGTGGCTTCAGACCTCAATAGCCATCTAGAAAATGAGAAATCTAGAGCCTAGAAAGCAAGCTTTCAAAACTTTGAAGACAAATGAATTCCAAGTAAAAGTCTATACAAACTATCAATCAATAGTGATAGTAAAACAGGTATTTTCAAATCTGCAAAGCCTCCATAAACTTACTTCCCAGACATCCTTGTTCAAGGAGGTACTGGAGGATGTGAACAGGTGCCACCAAAACCATGGATAAGTCAACAGAGGACAATGTGGGGCACAGAACAGAGGTAAAGAGACTCTAAGGCGGCAGCTGAGTACCAGAAAAAGAGCTGAGGGCTCAGGAGGGAATTTTTCCCCTAAGAAGGAAACAACATAATTATCTGCTGGAATGAAAGCGTTAAAAGGATATTTATACCCAACTGAAAGAAAAGTGCAGGTGAATGTATATAGATGGTTTCCATCATGCATTTAAATTACAGTATTTTTGTAAAAGCGATTCTTCCTTTTTCCACTGTTTCAAGTTCTTCTAGTCAATCTCACCACCCCCACCTTGCTTCCAGATGCCACCTGTAAAGTGAAGGACGAGGCCAGAGACATTCCAGAGACCTCAGACTGCAGACACACAGCAGGATTCAAATTCCTGTTCCTCCACTTTCTGGCTGAGTGACCTTTGGGCAAATTTACTGGAAGCCTCCCCGCTGCAGAACCATTTCTAACTGCACAGATTAAGGAGACAAACACTGGGAGGCCACAGAACTGGTTTGCTATCAGGATTAAACAAGATGAGCCAAAATGCTTAACTTGGCCCCCATCGTAAGGTAAGCACTCCTTAACATTTTTAAGATGAGTAAACTGAATTAAGGATATAATCATTAACCAGGGGAAACAAGAAAACACAGGAAAGGAAAAATAATCATAATTTACTACAGAGCTTAGCTGTGAATAACGTACAGTTAGGTCAGTGGCCATAGTGACCGGACTGAAATCTTAACTATGCGAAGGCTTAGGGGGAACAGAAAGGGCACTCAGGTGGGGTGGGATAAAGGGCAGAGAGAGAGTTCAATGCTCACCTTTCAAAGTCAGACACTGAACAAGCCTAAGAATAAAAAACAAGAAGTAGCAACACAAGTCTGTTACTTAACAATATATAAGTTTATTAGGAAGCACACTGTGCAAAACAATGAAAAGCACTGTCTGTTGGGAAGGAGGAATGAGAAGGGCCGGGAACTATCTTCACAAATCTTGGTTATCTAGCTGTCTCTCTAAACTATGCTCATGTATAACTAATAAAAATAAAAGCCTAATTTCACAAAACATACCATTCATTATATAAGGAAAAAGAAACCCCACATACTAAATGAAGATGACTTTTCAGTTTCCTACAGCATTCTAGTCTAGTCCTTGACTAACTTTTTCCCTAAGGCCTGGTTGGGTGGCAGTCTGGTCAGATACTGCAGTGTCCTAATAAAACATTCTGTTTTCTCCAATCTGATTCAAATGTCACTTACACTAACTGCAACAAAGATCTCCAAATAATGAGTCTCGGAGCTGTGAACGCTGAGCAGGCTGTGTCTGGCTGGAGGGCCCTTGGAGCCCGCCTCCCGCCTCACGTACATTCTCAGGCACACGCACAAGTGCCCGAATAGTGCCCGGCCTCCAAGGAAAGAAGCGAAACTTGGCATACTCTTCCTCTCCAGGTAGCAGTTAAGGTGATGTGGTTTCTTTGAATACTGCTTTTCTTCCAGCACCCCTGGTTTCTTCTTCTGATTTTCTATTCCAATACCTATTGTAAGGCTCAGATGTACTCCCAATTCTCTCTTCTCCCCTAACTACCATCTTTTCTTTTTGTTTGCCCTCTGGTTGAGTTCCTCAAGCTATGCTTTATACTTTGCTCACCAGGCCACAACACAATTCTCAAAAAAGCCCTCTACTCAGACTTTCTGTCTCCTTTCACTCCTTTTCTATAGTGGACTGTTTAAATTTCATCCATACAATCTCTTCCTAAATGTCACCATGAATATGTAGCACTGGAGAAAAAGAAATCCACTCTGTGCTTCCTATCTTCCCTTCCATTTTGGGGGAAGTGGAATCAACACGGTGGCTGAGCCCACAGGACAGCGGGAGGGGGCAGCAGGACAGCCCCGGGCAAAAATCACATCAGCAGGTCTGGCCAGGGTAGTTTACGGAATGTTAATACTAAATAAACAAGTAAAATAAACAGATACACAGCAAATAATTAAAAAGATTATTTGGGGAAAAGTAAATTGCCTAAGTCATTGCTACTCTAACACTGCTATCATTCTGGGCTCGCAGATTCTTACTTGTGGGAGCTGTCCAGTGCATTCTGGGATGTTTGGTAGCATCCCAGGTTTCTGATCTCTACACACTAGCTGGTCAGAGCACCCTCAAGCTGTGTGTACGAAAGTGTCACCATAGGAGGCCAGAGACTACTATCCTTAGAAAGGCCTGCTTGCAAGGCAGGTCCATGGTTGGAGTCTAGAAACTTGGATTTCTGGAGGGTTCCCAACCCAGTTTCTCCAGCCTGGTCTTGTTACCTGTACCTTCGACTTTGGGCCTAATCCATCACAAACGACTTTCTCCCCTCCAAGCCTCTGAACATGACATGTCCCCATCCACATACTCTCCTTACATCTCTTCTCTTTTAATTAACTACACACCGTCCTTCAGAACACAATTTAGGTTCACTTCCTCTTAGGAAGCCTTCAGATGCCCCTCCTAGATGCTCAAGGTACGCTGTCTATCACCCAACGTAGTACTTACTGCATAATTTTTTTTGAAGATTTTTTATTTGTTTATATAGAGAGAGGGGAAGGTAGGGAGAGAAGGAAAGAGGGAGAGAAACATCAGTGTATGGTTGCCTCCCGGGCGCACCCTACTGGGACCTGGCCTGCAACCCAGACATATGCCCTG